TTTTGGAGCTACAGAGCCTAGGATCTGAGGAACTGAGCAGTGCTGGAACCAGTTTGAACCTGTGTTTGATGTAAGTCTTGTATCCTGCTTCCAACAATCATCAAAACCAGATGGAGACCTGAAATCTCTACTAGCAAAAATAAGAGACTTTCTGTCCTTATCACTCATACCTTTAAGCACAAAGGTTTGTATTTATCATACACATTTTTTTAATGTTCCAATATGTTTTCACTATGCATGTGAATGCCTAACCCTCTTCAGTGCTGCACAGCCCATAGCCCTTGCCAATGCAGACACCAGCATGGAGAAGTTGTGCAAAGGTAAGCTGTAAAATAGAAGAGGTAAGGTATGAGCTGCATTTGAAAATGGAATTTTAAAAAGCTGAAGGAGAGTGCAGCAGAAAGAATGGGATGCTTTGAGAGAATGCTTGTCCCCACTGACCACTGCAGCCAATCCAGGCCATCAGCAAGGGGGCTGTGAGAACAGGCAGGTCTGCAGCTCCCCAGGCAGGGAATGCAGGGGGGCTGGAAAGAGTTACAGTGGGTGAGACAAACCATAAAGATCAGAGGTGTGATCTCACATGGATACAGGTGTGCAACATGTGGGATCACAAGCTCATTTCCTTCTCTAACCATTTCTACTTCTGCTGTTGTTAACTGTAACAACTATGCAGAGTGTTTTGGTGCATTTCTTCTGTTTATTTTCAATCTTATTCTTTTACACTTGCCTCTCATTCAGAATTGAGGAAGATAGTATTTAAGTTTTCACCATAAAGAGCAGCCAATTAGAAAAAAAACAATGTGAAGTAGTAGTAGTAGACATTTGAATGAAACAAAGTCTAAATATATTTGTTTGCTCAACAACTTTTTTTAATGTTAATTACAAAAATAGGGAAACACTAAAATACTAGCTAATTTTCAAATTGGACCCATTTTGCTTCCAATTTACAAGATTAAAAATGTTTACACCAAGTTGCTACTTGCAATCCAAATCCATTTAAAATTATAAATGCCATGAATATTTCAATGTTGTGTGTAAAGGTAGGAGCAGTCCTATGACTGCATGAAAATTTTAGATACTTTTCTTCTGCAGTGTTTAATAATCAAAACACATAGACTAATCAGATGATGCCAATAGCCTGAATGCTGGATTATATATCACCAGCTCACTGGGATGTAATTAATGTGTTGCTAGGGAGGTAAACAAGTCTGGGTTATGCCTGGCTGCTTGAGGGAAACAGTATCTGTGCCTGGCTGGCTTTATTCAGTCACAGAAGAGCAGGGAGAAGCGTGGTACAACCCTGCCCACGTACTGCACAGTCTCACCTGATGGTTCATCCAGTCCCTGTACTGGGGATTAAGGCTTCCCATTCCCTGTTATTTCTTACTGCCAAGCAGAGATGGCTCCTCCCTCAGTAGCCTGGGGTTCTTGTGAACTTGTGTTGGCCACCAAGATGCCCAAAGTATTTGAGTGCTTGTAGGATTTCATTTTGAGTCCTGGAGTTTCCTCTGGGAGTCAGTTAGGAAAAAGTTAAACACAGCATTGGCAAAGTCCATTTGTGCATCTGGACCTATGCTCATACATGAGTTTGAGGTGGCTCAAAAGCATCTCTGAATTGTAGACACAGGTTAATTTTGTGTAGCCATGAGAGACCCATGACTGCCTCTCTTATGGAGAACTGGGGAAGAACAGAACCTGGAAGGTAGAATGGGGAAAGAGCCAGAAAGCTGAGATTTATGGTGGTGTGGTGGGTGCCCTAGACACTGCTCTGTTCTTTGGTGGCTGACATTAGTGGGAGCAGCAAGGCACAGCTAGATCTGAAGTAATTTATTTGCTTTTCTCTCTTAGTTACTTCCAATTTGTTGCCATAGCTGGGTATTTTGTCTGTGTCTAGCAGCACACCAAGAGTCACTACTAAAGCTCTAAGGAGACCTATGAAAATACCCAACTGATGAATACTTCATGACATGCTGCAAATATTTTAATTGATTTCATGATATGCCATTTAGTATTAAGTGAAGTGTATCTCCTGCAAAGGAAGTCTATTTTCCTTTGTTAATAATTTTTCAGCTTTTGTGCAAAATGACTGTGCTTTCTTCTTTTCAATCTTCATAAAATAAAAGGCTTTTGCTTTTATCTTCCCTGTACATCTAGGAAGAGGTCTTTTTAATCAATTAAAACCAGTAAGTTTGCATTTTACAAACACCAGCTCTTTACCTGCTTAAGTTTAAACATTTCTGATGGTTTTTGGTGGTCTGCTTAGACTGGTGTGAGTCTGTGTGTTGTGTCTGCAGTACTGGTGTGCAGCATTTTGGGGGGTTCCTGGATATACCCACATGGAACAGCAGAGATGTTGGAAGTACAGGTGCCCACAGGGAGCCTTTTTGGGCACTGCAGGTGCCACCACGCTTGCTGTCCTGATGTTTCATACTCAGTAACTCTCTGTAGCTGAGCATCTGGGGTCATGAAATTTGAAGATACATTTTTTCACCTTGCTGCTCTATTTTCAGAAGACAACTACACATGTGATAGCCAGCATCTATCAAGTAGTGTAACTGCTGAGCAGTGTCTGCAGAGTGAATTTAAATGCTCTGGGAATATGTCTCATAATTTCAGAAATGCAAAGCTACCTCAAAAATCCACAGTGCAGGACAGGTGCTTGACTCTCACTTTTGGTGAACTTCTCATTCTCTTTTACATTTTACTTGTAAAAGCAAAATTTACATTTTTATGAAATGCAAAGCACAATCCAGTGCTGTGCTTTGACCTTGCAATGGTCAAACCTGGATAATAATCTCAGGATATCAACTGCACTATGCTTAAGGTTATTTTTCACTTCACAGATGCTACAAAGTGCAGAATAGCAGCCATTCTGCAGCTCCAGTCCCCCTTCCAGGGAAAATGCCTAGCAGGGCAGCTTGCTGGGAGAAATTCATGCTGCCTCTTTAAGTGACAATAGGAAATGCAGAAGAGTCAGGATCCAGGCCTCCTGTACTCCATTCATCTCAATGAAGGGAGGAAAATTGCGATAAAGGAAAGAAGACAGTGAAATCTACAGCTGCTCCAACACAGTGATTCAATACAGCTCTTTAGTCATTGACCTACTGATCTTCACTTCCTCTTACACGTTATTATGAGGGGGAAAAATAATTCATAATCACTGGATTAACTTCTCTCCAGGCTACAGGAAAACTTTACTTTTTGTTATTGAAAACTATTGGGTATTGTGCCTTTGTTTTGAGATTTCCTTTCTCTCCTATGCATTACAACTGAATGAAGGTTTACTCCTAAAGATCATTTCAAAGTGGAGTGACATGATAGAAACATTTCCCTCTAAACTACAGCAATGGGCTTGACACTGGGAGGTCATACTTGGCCAAGTGTAAATTACAGATTCCATTTCATGCATTTGAATCACAAGTTCTTGTGGCAACTCACAAGTTGTAAAGGACCAAGCCAAGCGCAGTGGGACAAAGGGTGGCCCCAGGCTCGTGCTCAGATGGAAGGACATTTAGCTTTCTTCTGTTTAGGCAGCAAGATCTTTTACTTGACATATCACCTGCAATACATGACACAGCAAAATATGATGCCACCTCAAATCAAACAGGGAAAAAAGTAATCCAGATCAAACCTTAAAATAGTGCAGAAGCAATAGCTTCCTCACATTAAATTGCTTTCACGGGTGCAAAGATAAGGAGAAATTACAACTGATGCACCCTATTCTTATGTTTTAATGTGGTGTTTGGCAGCACTGTCAAACCAAGCGCTCAGAAATTCTAGATCTCATTCAGAAAGCTTGATATGACCCTAAAAATCGTGACAGTTCAAATACTTAACACAAGTTGCTCTTTATTTGCTTTCCTGGGTATAAATCATTACCATTCAATTCCAGGTTTTCTAGCATGGAGCTTGTAGAAATACTAAAGGCTTTGGGAAAAGAGCAAGTGCTGTGAGTGCCCTCCAGCCACAGTGCTGGGATTGCCCTAGTGGCCTCAGCAGCCTCCACCAGCAGCAAATTTTGTTCATAGAGCTTCATTTTGAATCCTGGAGTTTGCTCTGGGAGCCAGCTAGGAAAAAGTCAAACACAGGACTGGCAAAGTCCATTTGTGCATCTGGACCTATGCTCATACATGCATCTGAGGTGGATCAAAGCATCTCTGAATTGTAGACACAGGTTAATTTTGTGTAGCTATGACAGACCCATGACTGCCTCTCTTATGGAGAACTGGGGAAGAACAGAACCTGGAAGGTAGAATGGGGAAAGAGCCAGAAAGCTGAGATTTATGATGGTGTGGTGGGTCCTCTAGACACTGCTCTGTTCTTTGGTGGCTGACATTAGTGGGAGCAGCAAGGCACAGCTAGGTCAGAAGTAATTTATTTGCTTTCCTCTCTTCCTTTCTTCCAATTTGTTGCCACAAGCAGCTGGGTATTTTGTCTACATCTAGTAGCACACCAAGAGTCACTACTAAAGCTCTAAGGAGACCTATGAAAATAACTTGGGCGTCCGACTGTTTATGGCGTGAGAAGGAAACGCGGCAAGCCGGCAGGACGCGTGTTGGAGCTGCCGAGGCCCGGCGGCTGCAGGCCCAGCCCGAGGGGCTCCGGGGACGGACCCGCCGGCGCCGCGCTCGGCTCTCCCGCGGCTCTGGGGGCAGCGCCCACGGACGGGATCCCCAGGCCGCAGAGGGCCGGCGAAGCAGCGTGGATGTCGGCATGACGGGGCCCATGTAGGGCCGGGCGCCGGAGCGCACCGCCCCAGTGCACCGGGCTGGGCCGGGCAGGGCTGGGCAGGGCATGGAGCGCTCTCCGCCCGGCCCCGCCCCGGTCCCCGCGGGGTGGCGGGAGCGGCCGGGCAGCCCCGGCGGCCGCCGCCTCCTCGTTCCCCGGTTTTGGCGCGGGGAAGGACCGCAGCTAGAGGGAGCTGCTCCGGACCGCGTCTGCCCGTGCGCCCCGGTTCTTTCACAGGCTCCCCCGCCCCTTCCCTCCCTCCTTCCCCCGTGATGGCGGAGGACAGCGAGTCCGCGGCCAGCCAGCAGAGCCTGGAGCTGGATGACCAGGACACCTGCGGCATAGACGGCGACAATGAGGAGGAGACCGAGCACGCCAAGGGGTAGGGGCGCGCTTGGGGAGCGCGCGTGGCTCGGGGAGGCAGCTCCGTGTCCTCCGCCGCGGCAGAGGCCGGGCTGGAGGTGCCCGGGCCGGGCTCCCCTGATGCCCGGCGCGGTCCCTCGGCGGCGCGGGTGTGCTGGGCGCTCCTGCCCGCTGGCGGGCGGCCTGCGCGGCCCGGCCTGGCCCGGCCCGGCTCATCCGCGGCGCCTGCGCCGGGCTGCCGAGCGGCCCCAGCCCGGGCCGCCTCCCGCCGCAGCATGCGGGCGTGGAACGGCCCTGCCGCCCGGCCCGGAGCCCCGCGCCCTTCTGCCCGCAAGGGGAGAGGCGGCAGCCCGGGCCCGGGCCGGCCCGGCCCGAGGTGAGGGGGCGGCGGGGCTGGCACTTACCCGCCGGACACCGGCCTTGAAATCGCGCCGTATAAGCGAGGGTAAATCCTGCCTTGTTGTTGGCGCTTTTAGGGCTTGGGGGCGTTTCTGCGTATTTCTGGCCGTCAGGAAGTCCCCTGCAGCGGGGAGATGCCCCCTGTCCTCCCGGTGGTTCCGGCTGAGCGGCTTCCGCGGGCCGTCCCGCGCCCATCCGCGCCCACAGCCACCGCCCGCTCCCTGCGGCCGCGCTCCGCTCCGGGCATCGTCCGTGTCAGCCTGTCCTGCCGACACTCCTCCTCACCCATTGTCCTCCCGGAGATGTTTCCTCCAGATCCACACGCTGTGGAGAGCAGAGCGCGTGTTTTAGCACGGCAGTAGCCGGGGCAGACGCTGTTGTCTGGTTGTAGTTCCTTCTCCACTAATCTCGCGTCTCAGATCTTCCCACGCTGAGGATCAGGCGGTGTTTCAGTTGCCTGGGGAGCTGATGGGAGAGGCAGCCAGCATCGCTGCGGCCCCTGCCACCCGACCGGTGCTGGGCTGGCTGCAGTATGACTGCGTTCAGGCACGAGGTGCCAAGGCTCTACCTTGCTCTGAAGGCTTTTGGGGCGGGGGAGTGGGAGGAATATGTTTCAAAAGTCGGCTTCATTTAATTTTATTTTTTTCTCTTTTTTGAGGGGTTAAAAACGTGATTGCAGAGAAGGCGCTTTGTTGTCGCAGCCTGGAGTGGCTGGAGTAACCTAAAATAGAACTAGGTTAATCTATACAGTGCTACACAAATATCTTCCTCGTGAATTTGTGATTGATCTGCTTGAGAGCTTTTCTGTAGGTGACTGATGTTTGAGGATGTACGCTGTTTGCTGTCTTCTGCTTCTAGGATTTGGTTGACAACACTCTTGAATGTGGCAAGAAAAATCTAAGGGACTTTGGAAGGCTGACTTGTCTAGAAGGCAGGAAGGGGAAAACTTGGATGCTCTGTCATTGAGATAATGGCACGCACACTAAAATAATCACGTTAGAAATAATTACAGTAATGTAAATCTGGGATATTAAAAGGGACAAAATAGTGTTTTGTTATTTTGGGGCTCTTGTTACATTTGCTTCAGTAAGTATGTCACAGTTGGTGATTCCCAAATACGTGAAACTAAAGTACTAAGAGCAGAGAGTTGTTATTTATTGTTCTTCATAGGAACCGACCTGGCATCCTAGTTGGGATTGTTTAACAGCCAGGTAATGATTCAGGTAATGATAGCCAGGTAATGATTCAGGTAGTGATTCATGTAATGATAGCCAGATTCAGGTTTGATTCAGGTAATGCCTGTCCAGAATTCATTTGGATTGTATTCCTACTTCAGTTTCCTCTCCTGTCTGTCTGTCTGTGTGCCTGCCCGGGCTGTAGCTGCCCTCTGTGCGTGGCTGTGCTGGGGCTTCTGTGACAGCGAGTGCAGTGTGTAAGGAGCAACCAGGGAACAAAGAATTGCACTTCGGTGTGCTCTGAGTCACAGCTTGCTGCTCTACTCCAACACGTGTCTCACTGCTCTCTAAGGGACACCAGCTGCAGCCTGTATCGTCTTCTACCCAAAACTTGTCTGTTGAATATCCCAGATGTATTTTAATGAGTGTTTTTTAGTAAGTTTAGTTAAATTAGTGGTAGATCATTCCAGTAGAAAAAGCCTCTTAAGTATTAATACCTGCTGCATGAAGTCTCATATTGACTCTTGAATTACTTTATTTTCCTGTAATCTTTGAAAAATCTTGTTTGCTGCTCTTTGTCTGGAGGCTGAAATACTCAAACGAATTCCAGCAGATGACAGGAAAAATCTCACAGTGGAGCATGCAAGATCTACTCTTGATCCGAGAGATTGACCTATAGTAATAGGAGCCTAATTAGTTATTCCCAGTTTTCTCCCTGTCATTGTGTATTAATTCTTGAGGTACCTGTAAAGTTTGCTTCAAGCTTTGAGATTAGGTTTTACATGCTTAAGCAATTTATGAGCAGTCCAACTACTTGAGATTATGACTGTGTCAACTGACTTGCACAATTCTGTGTGGTCTCCATTAGTGCTGATCAGTATTTAATCTCATTCTATTTTAACCTGCACTTTTTTAGAAAGAGGCAGAATATTGTGTGTCAGTCTCTACTGGATTGCCATGTAAGTTAAGTTATTTTCAAGATGTTTCTTGACATTTGAAAACAAGTCCTTAGAATATTCCCCACAGGAAAGCGTGATTTTTAGATACATATGACTTTTTTGTTTTGTTTTGTTTTAAATTTGCAGGGTTTTTTTGTGCTTGAGCACTGAATGAGTGCAGCAGAAAATAACCATTTTGTAGCTCTTAACTGTGAAAATGTCTTTGTCCTCTGATTCTGCTCCTGTTTTTTAGAGGCAGGATTATGTATGTTGTGTGACTCATTGCTGTTTTCCTGTTCTGTAGTTTGCTCCTGCTAGACGCATTATGCTGTATTTGTTCTATGTTGTAATAAAGTGTGATTTACAAAATATCTTTGTTATTGTGTATGTAGAAAAAAATGTTGCACCTGGATCCACCCTGCTAAGTCCAGCCTTATAAGGTCTCTCACATTCTAAATAGCTCCTTATGTTCGCTGCCAGAAAGGCCTTGGGCATAAAACATTTAGTAAACACATGAGAAAAAGGTATGACCTTTAAACAACTCCCCCAGCACTCACAAATTATTTGCTTTGAATGTTTTAGTAGTATACCCCTGTAATTATTGTTAAAAAAGGCCAACTTTGTAATGAATACTACTTCTAGATTTAAAAAAGAAGCAAATATTTTTAGGGTTGTGGAAGCAGTGCTTGGTTTTAGCAGGTGGGTTTTATGGCTCGGAGTACAGGTTACAGACTTGAAGAGTGAGGCAGAGGAAACATGCAGATCTGAGGAATACTCTTGGGTTAGGGTTTAAGGTATTGCTGCTAGGTTTTCATGCTAAAAACCTTGCATTCTCAAGTATTGAAATGTATACAAATGAAATCTTTGTGCAGAGAGGTTCTTTGTACTGACAGTTTGTTAGTAAGTGGAATTTGAAGGGCATAGGCCCTTCTGGTCAAGACCTTGCTATATTGTCTTGGAGTGGTGGTTTTTCACAGCAATGAGAATGCCCTTTGCACCTAAACCTCCATTTTCTTTATGAACCAATGACAGCCCTAGTATAAATAATACTGCTTCAAAATTTTCTGAAGTCTTACCCATATACATGAGACCTGATTTTTGTGATCAAAAAGATCTGTGTAACATCTTCAGAAATGCAGCTTTGCAACCTCACTTACAGAGAGAGAAGTACTGTGAAGGCAAGAACCCCACACAGGCCTTTGCAGTTTAAAAATAAACATCTGAAGTACATGTTTGGTTTCAAATTTGAGAAATTGCTAACTTAAAATTACCATTCCGTGTAACATAAAACAGATGTTGACATTACAAAAGTCTGTTTCTGCTAAAGCAGAATTTAGTGTTCAAAAAGGAAATTAAAATAATAGTGACAATTAGTCAGTGAGAAAGATAATCTCAAACCAAGGGAACCAAAACAGTTTGACCACCTGAACAGGATAATTGTCATGCTCCTCTGGATTTTTCTCTCTCAGCTTTTCTATTAATTTGCTCTGAGCCTCCTAAAGTAAGTTCCTCCACCCTTGCCACACTTCTTCCCAAATGCAATAAGTATTCCCATTTTTCAGTTTAAAAAAACCCAATCCAACCAAAACACCACCACATGCAGAGAGAAGCAAAAGTATTTTTTCCCACATCTATGCAAAACACCAGATGTGTGTACATAAGTGGAAAGGTATGTGGGTGGGATCATGGGCTTGCATTTGTGACTTGCAGACAAAATCATAAATCTGTAGGCCTAAATGACTATCTCGCAGTCCTATCCACAGCCTGTTTCTGGGGCAAGGTGAAGTCATTTTGGGGGAGAATGAGGTCTTTTGACCCTTCTCCTGCTCAACTGAATTTTGATTTGCATGTCCCTTTTATGCTGGCTTCACCTTTTTCTTATTCATCAGACTGACAAAATTGTTATTGTGGGTGCAGTTAAAAATATCTTAGACTGTGCCTGTACTTACATATAGCTGAACCTCAGTGTACAGACTTGCCCTCCTGTCATTGAAGTTCTCCTGCTATAAGTGTGTCTCCACTAGACTGAGATAGTCAAAATCTTCCAGAAGTCTAACATTGAATGGTTTTCTTTGTATAATCTGTTGTGGTCTGTGTGCCGGCTGCACTGGGGCAGATGTGTTGATCTGATGTGTGAAAAGGTCGTGTTTCCTGACCTGCCAACTTGTCATGGCAGCACCCTGAGCTCTCTATTGGTTTTCTGCTTCCCACATAGGACCTGAGCTCACAGTTGTGTCATTTTACAGGTGCAGAGCAGTTTGGAAAAAGAGATTTCATGCTTAAAGGTCAACTTTCATAAAAATGGGAAACTTTTTTCCTCCCAGCTTCTACGTGTGAGATAAAATTCAATGTGTGGTCATATAGATGTATCTGACCAGACAGAGCAGAATTCAGATCTTAGTCAGCACACAAGAATGTCAGAGAAAAGCTTTTAATAGGAGCCCTTGGTTTCAATCTTGTTACCTTTGCATATCCTTTGTGATGTCAAGTCCAGCATAATTGCTACAAGTTGAGCAACCAAGTTCCTCCCTTCCCAGCCATTCTCACTCCCAGTTTTAGAGCCTTTCTGTTCTTTTCAAGGCAGGGCATGAGAAGGACAACAAATCCTGAGATGTTTTTGTTCTGCTTCTGCCCTGATCTCCTTGGTATCTCTGGTTGTAACTTGTGTTGGACAAACCTGTTTACTGAGTAGAAGTTTCTGTGTGCTGCCTGCTGCCAAATATCTGGGTTGCAGGCGTGCCTAAATAGTAGGATGAGTAGAACTCTATTTAAATCCTCTTTTTACACTGTGTGGACTGTAACAGTAAAAAATAAACTGACCCAAGCAGGAGACTGCATAAATAACTGCTCAGAATGATCCCTGGATAACCTGTCAGACAAAGATACCAGTATTTATTTTGCAACAGTGTGAAAGAGTTAAACCTGAAGGTCATAAACCAAGGACTGGGATTTTGGAACATTAAAAAAAAATTAAAAACTAGTAGTGTATTTTTAAATGCCACATATATTTTACATAGTTTACTTCTGTCTTCCTTCTTTCCCTGCTGAAGACTATACATTTCTAAATGAAAAAGGTCTTGAATTGGTCAAAGTACAAACTATGATTGTCCTGGTAAAAGTACGTTTTGACTGGGGATAACATTAGTAAAGCTTGGCAAAGCTGATGTTTCTCCAGAGCTGCCAAACTTTTTTTTTAGCTCAATTGTTCATTATTTCACCAAACTAAATAAAACATTGGCCCTCATGTAATCCTAGTGAGCAAAATTCCCCTGTGGTGTATGTGACACTGGATCATCCTGAAAGACAAGAAGAGAAGTGAGCTGCACTGGTGCAGTTTGGGGCTCAGTGCCTGCTCAAGGTGTCTGTTAAGAGCAGTGTTTGCTGAAACTCCAAATAGCCTGGTGTTCAGCACACAAACCCTTGGGAGCCAGCTCAGAGACACAGAGGCATCATTTGTTTGCTATATGTGAGGTGCTACAGGGAAAGACAAGTTTGTGGACAGTTGCAGAAAGTAAAAAAAAGACTTCCTTAAATGAATCCCAGCAAAGGTGAAATCACTTCCCCTGGTATTTTTATCTCAGTTTTGCCAGATAGAGGTGGTGAAGTCCTCAAACACATGTTGAGGTTTTACTGCTTTGTATTTATAACTACTTGCCAGTCTTTTGGCTCCGTTCTGTGTTTAAATTCTGTACAAAATATCAGCTTGGTATACAGGCCTTCAGATAGATTTACATTTTATTCTTTTAAATGACACTGTGCTGCCCAGGTGGCCAAGGAAGCCAATGGCATCCTGGCTTGTGTCAGACAGAGTGTGGCCAGCAGGACCAGGACAGTGATCGTACCCTTGTACTTGGACTGGTGAAGCCACACCTTAAATCTGTTTTGAGCCCTTCCCTGGCCTCAAAACTAGAGCTGGAGCATATCCAGAGAAGGGCACCAAAGCTGGTGAAGGGGCTGAAAAATAAGTCCTGTGAGGAGTGGCTGAGGGAAGTGGGGTTGTTTAGCCTGGAGAAAAGGAGGTTCAAGGGGGATCTTACTACTCTCTACAACTCCCTGAAAGGAGGTTTTAGCCAAGTTAGGGTCGGCCTCTTCTCCCAGGTAACAAATGACAGGATGAGAGAAGATGGCCTCAACTTGCATCAGGGGAGATTTAGACTGGATGTGATGAAAAATCTCTTCACCAAAGGGATTGTTGAGTATTGGTAAAGGCTCCCCAGGGAAGTAGCAGAGTCACCATCCTTGGGGGTATTGAAAACATGTGTAGATGTGGCACTGAGTGATATAGTTTAGTGGTGGACTTGGGTTAATGCTGGGCTCAATGATCTTAAAGGAGTTTTCCAGCCTTAGTGCTGTGATTCAATGAAATTGTGATTCATTGTGGATCATGTAGGTGATCCAGCAGTATGCTTATTCTGCAACAAAAGATGTTCTCCCTGAGTCGCTTACACAAGTCCATCTTTTGTTTCTGCAACCTTCTAGTAAATGATTCAAACTCTCTTATGTCTCCAGTGTATTTGGTCTGCTCTGCTGTTGTCCACTGAGTAGCAGCTTGGTCCTGTTCTAGAGGCTGTGGCATTTACAACACTTTCATTCTGGGAGCATAACTCAGTGTAAGCTTGAATGTTATGAACTTCTTGAGATTGATCTTTCACTACAGACTATTCTAAAGGACAGTAAGGATCTCACAAAAATCAGTCTTTGCTTAGCTGCATTGTTTGGTTAATTGCAGGCTTTGGGCCTCCCAACTGGAGGGAGGGTGTTTACTCAACAATACCAGCTCAGGCAAGGTATAGATGCTAAGACTTGTCATCATAATCTTGAAAGTGAGCATGTTACAGCAAATAATATATCCCTTGCAAATATGTTGATCGTAATAACTTCAGTTATGTTCTTCTGAGTTTTCTTTCTTTTTGTTTTTCAGTATGATACATGGGGTTTTTCCCCCTCCAGGATTAAAAGAAACAATTGTTTGTTGCATTGACTTTTTTTCTTTTCTAGTGAAAAACACCCAAGGCCCCCAAACTCTGATATCTGTCTTCAGTTCCATTATGTGCATATGGTTTTGCTGAGAGATTAGCCTCTTGAAGACAGTTTAGTGTTAATTGACTCATTGCCTCCATATTTTTGTTCTGTCTGAGAGTTGCTAACACATCCCACACTTTGCAAATTCTGATCTAATCTTGATTCTATATCTTGATTATCTTTTAAATAAAAATCTCCTTGAAGAATAACTTAAGTTATCAATAGTCAAAATATATCAGAATCCTCAAGTGCAATTTTTACTTTTTTGCTGAGGCTTTTTAATTAAAGTTGACCCCATTGTGCTTATTGTTTTAAAGCACAAATATTTGGTTAGTTTTATATTGTCTCTTACTGGGATTTCAGCAAGACTTTCATTGCAGCTTAAGTTAGGAAGAAAATTTCCAGAAAACAGAATGTTTCATCTGGATTCTTCTCAAATTCAGATGTGTCTTATGGTTGAGCATGAAGGAGAAAAAGTGTTGGGACACTAATAGTTACTGAGTTTCCAAGGAGGTTACTTTCCTCAGTTCCCATACTTTCTTGTGTTCCTCCGAACTGTTGAATTTGGTCATTTTGTTTTTGGGCTGGATAATAGTCTGGAGAAGAGCACTGGTTTCTATGTAGTGTCACAATTTAACATGAGTATGTCAAAATGCCTGGTTGTGCTAGTGTCAGAGTATAAAACAAATGAGACAGCACTTGCAGGAAGTTTTTCATCAACTCTCTCAGTTCCCCACTTCCTTGCTTTTTGTCCGCTGCCTTTTCTTTACATTCAAAGCACTGTTAGATTTTTTCATATCAAAATGCTGGCTTTTCCATATTTAACTTTTTTTAAATTTAAGGCTCAGTGGTATTGATTTTTCTTATTGCACATTCTTTGCATCTCTGGCAGAAGTCCTGGAGGGGATTTGGGAGCGAAGAAGAAGAAAAAGAAGCAGAAGAGAAAAAAGGAGAAACCAAATTCTGGAGGCACCAAATCAGATTCTGCATCTGACTCCCAGGAAATTAAAATTCAACAACCTTCAAAAGTGAGAGCCTGGTTCTGTTTTAATTTGTGCGTGCTTTCTAATTTAATTTTAATTTGCATGTCACTTGTTGTTGAAGTGAGTTGGTAGTTCTGCCTTAGTGTGTGAAAATTAAGCAAATGGTTCCTGTCCTGAACAGAGAGAAGCAAGCCAAGACCTGGTGTTTTCAGAGGTGCCATCACCACCACGGTGGTGTACTGTGAGAAAGGCAGAGGAGTTTTGTCTTTCTCTTTGAGCAGTTAAAGCTTGGGCTAGTGACAGCCTCATTGCATAGAATCATAATCTGTGATGTATGAAAATAAATAGATTTTGCATTTGATGGATTGCCTGTAGTTTTTAGCCACCATCCAACTTGGCTTAGTGCAGTTTTGGTCACTTGTGCAGCATGAAGCTCTCTCAGCAGCAGCAGCAGCAGGAGGGAAGGTGGGGCTGCTGTGCTAACCAGAATCTCTTTAGGGCAAGCAAGCAGCATGTATTTGTACATTAAATGCAGTAATCTTAAACATGGAGATAAAGGCTGAAGAAACATTTTGCTTTCAGAAAGGCCTCCACTATAATTAAGAATGCAAAATTGCTTGTGGGAATGTACAGTCCTTGTGGATTTTCTGATAAAATAGCATTGTCTGTGTGTGCTTTTGTCTATCGTGTTCTGAATGAGCAGTGAATAACATGGTGTGGTGCCTTTTTAGCATACAGCTTTTATCCCAAGAGAAATCTGAGTGCAAGAACTAAAGTTTGTAAAACTAAGGAAGTTTATGTACTGTTGAGCATATTGAGGTAGTTATATTTGCTTTATCTGATTATTGTGGAGAATTGTACCAACAGGAATCTTTGTCCTATAAGATTTGACAAGTACATTGGGGTTACCAACTAATTTTAGGGGACAAAGATTGTGTTCTGGCTCATTAGCATAGTGATAGATTTTTGTGTTGTCCCTTTAGATCTTTTCCATGTTACCCTGATTGCTTTGCATGGGCACATTTGGCACAGGGGACACTTTATAATGTGTAGAGAGATCTTAAGTACTTTGCCACATGTTTTGATACTGCCTTTCTGTAACACATGGCATGAACTGCTAATACAGGAAGGCTGTTGGCAAAGGATGCACAAGTAACTCACTCTCTTACAACTGGCATGAGGTAAATTTTTGTGTTAACATAAAGGCATAGTTAATTGTTATAGTATCCCGTGAGTTCGTTGATTTGCTGCTGACCAAGGTTATTGTTCCATGTGTTGCCTCTAATTGCATTAAAAGAAATCTACTTCATAGTTTTTTACATTTGTGTGCAAGATTTTAGTCCTGCACCTCGCAGTCTTGCACACCATTTCTCTGATGTGATGGGTGGTGCAAATGTAGAAGGCTATTCTTGTTCCAAGTTGTGTGCTTAGAGTGGCACTGTTCATGATTATTTTACTGACATAAAATAATTTTAGTTGGTTCATTAGTAATCTCACAAAAGTTTCTATTTTATTGGCATAAAGAAAAAGGTCTTATATAAGATTTTCTTTCAAGCTCTAGGCAGCTAAACCACTTTACTCTTCTTTTATGGCTTCCACTTTTCTCTAGTTACAAATGCATCAACATTGCCTGGGGAGTTATTTTGCCTTCTCTGCTGTGTTGCAGGTCTGTTTTAGACAACTATTCTGTTACAGATTTCTTGAAAGCATCTTAGACTGCTGATCTGGATCTGTGTGGAAAAGTATATTTATTTTGTCTGCTATTCAAGTAATACTTAAATTTTTTATTCATGTGCTGTATGAAATTTAATACGGAAAACAGGCTTCTAGTGTTTGCTTGCTCTTGGTTGAAAAGAATATATTTTAAAGGAGAATGACATTGCAGACCTTACCTCTAAGAGACTATATGCAAGATCATCAGGCAGAACTCAGTGGGGCTCATTGAAAAGGATTTTGAAAAAGTATTTGGAGGTCATGTGAGTTTGTGAACAGATCTGTCAGTCTGGAGATGAGTAAAGCAGAACAGTGAGTCTCCTTGGCTTCTGCCTTCCTCAAATGTGATGGTAGTGATAGGAGACCTTTTGAACTCTGGTGTGAGTGCAGTCATAGCAGTAGAGGATTGTTAGCATTGTATGCTTACAGTGACTTTGAGGAGACTTCACTGCCCATCTCACAAGACTTCCATCTCTCCCTATTACAAGTTCCAGTGATGTAGGCTGTCCCTATTACAAGTTCCAGTGATTTAGGCTGTCCACACTGACACAAAGAAACCTTGCCATATCTGCAGTCTCATCAGTCATTATTGTCACCACTGGTGGCCTACACAACCTAGTCACAGAATAATAGATTGGAAGGGACATCTGAAGGTTTTTTGACCAACCTGCTGCATAGAGCAAGTCCAGCTAGATCAGGTTGCTCAGGCCTAGATCAGGTTGCTTGGTGTCCAAGGATGGAGACTCCACAATCTTTGTGGGTAACTTATTCCAGTGTTTGACTACAGTTTTCAGTTTAAAAAAAAAAAGTTATTCTTTATATCTAAATGGATTTTGCTGGTTTGCAATTTGTCTCCTTTGTTTCTTGTCCTATCACTCTGTTCCTCTGAAAAGATTTGGCTCAGCTTTCTTTATACCCTCCCATTAGGCGGTAATAAGATTTCTCCTACTCCCTCAACTTTCTATTTTTAAGGCTGTACAAACCAAGGTCTCTCATCCTCTTCTCCTTGTGTGTGATGTGCCTCAGCCCCCATTTATCTTGGTGCCCTCCAGAGAACTCGTAACAGTCTGTTAATGTTCTCCTTCTCCTTGTAATGGAGAACCCCAGACTGTAAGGTGTGACCTCAGGGATGCCAGATGAAGGGGAAGACTTCCTGGCCAATCTTACTGGTACTACCTAGTATGCAGCTGTCCTTTGCTGGCCAGCAATCTGCTGGCTCATGTCCAGTCTCTGCTCACCTGAACCTCCAAATTCTTTTCTGCAAGCTGCTTCTTAGCCAGTCCATGCTGGCCTCTGCCTTTGCATGTTTTTTTTCTATCCCAGATGGAGGACTTTGTATTTGCCTTTGTCAAACTTGATTAAGTTTCTTTTTCCAGCTTGTCAGAGTAGCTTTGAATAGCTGCTCTGTGGTTCAGCATATCAACAATTCTAGAAATTCTTCTTCTAGGTATCATCTGTGCACTTGCAGAGAAAGTACTCTTTGGCAAGTCCAGATCATTAAACAGTGTTAACCCCTCAGTCCTCCCCCTTGCATTCCTGGAAATGGGTATGACATTCCCCTTTATCCATTTATAGGAAACTTCCACCAATTCCTATTTTAAACTTAATAGATGCTAGTTGCACTAACATCAGCCAGCTCCCTTAGCATCCTTACATGCATTTGGTCTGTTTTCAGGGACCTATGCATGATTAGTTTGCTCAACAGTCCCCAGCTTTCTCTCAGACTGCTGCAGTGCACAGGGACATCCAAGGCCTGAGGTCATCAACAAAACTGAGGCAAAACCACCATTTCCTACCTCAGCCCTGTTGTACAATAGGGCTGTCTTGTGCTGTGAAGAGATATTTGCCCTAAACTGAAATTAAACAAAAGAGCTGGTTTTTGTTTTTCTATTTAATGTGAAGTTCTGTGTAGGTTTTCCTTGCTTTCTACTGAAGGAAAACAAAAAGTGTTAAAAGTAAACTTCTTAGTCAGGCCAATCTCTGAGTGTTTTGAAGTGAAAGGAATTCCTCCTGATATCCCTACCCATGGTCTATTTAGTACCTCAACATTATTTTCTTACTTATTGTTATGTTAGCAAGATCTTTCTTAGGAACTTTTTTTTTAGATTTTCTGCTTTTTTAATGTAGAAGAGATATTATAGACTTTAAATAAATATACAGAATAAATTACTGTGTGTCAGCATTTATGTATGATTTCATGATGTACTGATGAGATTTCAGAATTTATCTAGTGGCATTAGTAACTTATGCCTCTGTTATCTAATCTAGAAATAAGGTAGGCTTTTTAGGCTGGAACAGTGTTGTTCTAAAGTGTATAAACATGTTAATTCACATGTTTAATTCACATAATTCACATAATTACTCAGCTGACAGGTGTTTAAGGTGAAATTTGCAATACTTAAACATTAGGCATTTTGTTTCATTAATTCAGATAATAAAAGTGTTTATTATAAATAGTAAATGATGGACTGCTTGAGCTCCAGGCACAAAGTTTTGCTCTTTTTGTGATTGAGGATACCAGAGGCTGATCACCCAAATTAAGCTTTACCTTCATTATTACATTTATTTTATGGTGGTTTTTCAATGTATGAATCCTAGAAAGAAAGTGAAATATGGAAATAGTAGTCCTTTGCCATTCAGTTAAAAAAAAAAAAAAACAAAACCAAAACCGAACAGTCTGGCTTGAAATCTCTGTGCAGAATTGCTTACAATTTTCCAGTACATTTGAGACTTCTTTCAGATGCATTATTGCACTGCAGTCTGGGGAAACCTGAGCACAAGCATGCTGTTGGTATGCCTCAGAACAGGACTTACCACTAGGAAGATAACAAAACAAAGAGATTTAAAAAGAGAGAGGGAAAAATCCCTTTAGATTTAGAGGCCTGTTACCATTATTCTGCTGTACTGTCCTTTGCAGGAAAAATTCTTATTCCTGTTACATTTACTCAGAGTGATCAAAAAACTCCATGTGTACCAATGGTACCTTTATTGTTAAATATCTAAACTGACCCTTTTTTGGTATTTTATTGTGTTTTACCAGGGGAACAGGGACTATAAGAGGCATTTTTATTGTGATACAGTATCCTGTCTTAATGCTGCTGTATTTTTGTTAAAAATGTTGATGTTTCTTGGTTAAATGCAAGTACTGCTGACAACTGTTTTGTGTACCTGTTGCCCACCTAACTTTTTTCCACCCTCCTGTCTACAAACATTGTAGCTAAACTAACCATGATGAGAAGAGTGCCTGTGAGAATAGGTAACAGTAAAAGAAATTAACATGTTTGTACAGCTATTCATGAAGTAAATGTACTCAATAAGCTTCTTGTTCTGTTTGTCTATTTGTGCAGAACCCAGCCATTCCAATGCAGAAGCTTCAAGACATCCAGAGAGCAATGGAGCTGCTCTCTGCATGCCAAGGCCCAGCAAAGAATATTGATGAGGCTGCCAAACGTAAATACCAGTTTTGGGATACACAACCTGTACCTAAACTTAGTAAGTTTAACCAGATCTGTGTGAAAGAGCTGTCTTATGATCATTAAAGAAATGTTGTGCTAGCACTGTGACATGTTCTCTAAAAGGGGTATGAAGTCAGACTCTGTGTGGTAGGGATCCTTAGTCTTTTGTGTGTGTTTATGTGCAATTCTTGATATTTAGTTTATGTGGAGTTCTTGATGTTTTCCAGGGAAGTGGTTGTCTTCCCTACAGATAGTATGCAAGATACAGTGTTAATAAGTCTCATTCTGATGTCCTCTGTAAAAATGGGAAACACTGTTGAAATAGCATTCTTTTGTGTATTTTAGGTCTGAAATATTGAACAATAGAACATAGAAGTCTTTTTCACTTTAGGAGAAGTAAGAACTCTTAAGTGGTGACAAAGAGTAAACATTAAATTTTTTATTAGTAGTATTTGTTTTATTTATTTACTTGGATTTCCCTAATTTTTTTCAATAAATGGATTTGCTATCACAGAAGTAATGACTCTCCTGCCATAGGTAGCACTGTTTTCATACAGCTTTAAATAGACAGTGGCGCTTGTCTGATACACAAACTCTTTCTCTGCTGTGTGTTCATGTTCTCCTCCACAATGTACACTACCTTGAAGATAAGCTTTCTCAGATTCTATTCTCTGTTCTTGATTCCAAGTGAGATGATGAGGTGATCTCTCCTTGTCTTTAAATTTATAATGAATTTGACAAATTATTTTTATATTGATCTGATCTCTGATAATGCAGTTGTTAAATCTTCTCATTGTTGGAGGAAGTAGTTGCTGACTGTCTTGTGTTTTCTGTGTTGCTTTCTGAACCTTCTTTTTCTGCTTTCATTATCTTCAAGAGAAGCAATTACAGCTTTTCAGTGTGAACATACCTTGAGGTCCCTACAGGTAAAACATTCCCAGCACAGTAGCTGGTGCTGCTCTGTCCTGCAGGTTTCTCTCCATTGCACTGGAGACTGGTATAGAATAAGCAGAAATAAGGTAGAGTCTAAAGCACAGGAGCACTCTGCTCATTCTCCTCCACAGGCAGCTTTTCACATTAATCCATGGCTATAGGTTGATATGCAGCAATCTCATTTCTTCCTGACTTTTCTTGCATAGAGAAGTCCTGAGTAGAGTCCCTGGATACAGTATTTTCCTCTGGATTGAATTGAATTGAATTGACCTGCCATGGCTTTTCTCTGTACAAACTCTATCCAAATACTGCATAAAGTAATGGTAGTAATCATCACCAGCAATCCAGCCTAAGTGGAGAAAGACCCTAGCCAAAATAAGTTAAAGGGTAAATCAAAAAAGGCTCTAGCCATAATCAAGGTTTTCCAGAGCTAGTTCAGTGTCTGTGCAGTAGTGCCAGGAGTTCAGTTCAGGCTAAGCAATGTATTTTACAGCACTTAGAGGGGAGAGTCTGTCAATTGCCAGTCTAAAATGCCCTATACAGTGGCTCAGAAAATGATTTGTTAGTGGTGTTCAGTAGATATATGTTTCATTGAATTTGGTCAGTGAGGTTTTGTCCAACAGTCTCTATGAATTTCTTCTTAATCCTACAGATTTTTTAGGCTTTTCTTTATATGCTGAATTAACAGATTAGGAAGTCATCACTAGTTGATATGCTTTATGTGTTTAGGTGGAAAAAATAATTTAACAATTCAAGAAAATGTTGTAGAGATCTTTGCATTCAACTCACTTCAGAATCCTTTGGCCTTCAAGTTAAAAATATTAGCAATAGGTCCTTTAGTTATGCCAAACCTGCCATTTAGTGACTGTAATATTTGGGCTGTTGGTACTTTTCAGAGTTTGCTTAAAAATGCTAATAATTATGACCTTCAAAACTGAATGGCAGGCCATAAATATTAGTCAGGATTGTGCATCATATGGAAAAATTCATACTCAAAGGAAAATTGACTGTCTAGTTTGATGATGGCTGACAATGAGGTTGAGTGTTTACAGGTAAGAATCAGAGGGAAGGCCAACAAGGCAGATACCATGTTGTGAGTCAGTTCTAGACCTCCCAGCCAGGATTAAGAGGCAAATGAAATATTCTTTAAACATCTGGCAGAAGTCTCACAATCACTAGCCATTGTTCTCATCAGGACTTCAGCGTACATAGGATTTACTACAATTATAAAAGTGACTTAATTATAGATTCTTAAATCTAGATTCTAGATAACAGCATTCCTACTATACGCAACTCACATTGCACACAGGCACAGAGTTGTTTACGTGCTACTGTGTTCAAAGGTGCCTGTTAAAAATTCCCCTTGAGCCCAGTGACATACATTGAGTCCCTTGCATTTCTCAGCAGGCAGGGGTTGAGCTTTGAGGAGTGGAGGGTGTCAGTGTAGGCCTCGTGCTCAGCAAGTCTTCAGAGCATAAAAGACATCCCTCTCAGAGGGAGGAGCTGGTGCAGCCCACTGTGGTCCAGGGCACTGTAAAGGGCCTCACTTAGGACCACTCTTCATAGGATTGCCAAATAACTGGCTTTAATCATCAGTAAGTTTCCCTCGTGGTGGTAACCCACGTTGGTAACTGCTTTTTGAAAACAAAAAGCCGAAAAATCCCATCCAGTAACAATGGTACCATTTCACTTGGGCTACGGTTCAGGTAAATGGTGTTTCAAAGCTGTCAGGGAATAGCTGATTATTAGGAAATAACTGATTATCCCTTGTTCCCCACCTTGTTCAGGCAAATGATGATCCTGATACTGTCAGTGTCACTCCCACCTTTACTGTGCAGGAGCTCCTGTTAACAGTCAAGGGACATTTCACTGCCCAGCTGGTTTGGTCAAGGCTTACTGGGAACTCCTGAGATCATAGAGCAGGCCCAAGGATGGATGGAGAGATGCTGACCAAAGGGACTGCAAGGATGCTGAGGTTATGCAGGGAGAAAATCAGGAGGTCCAAAGCCTGACAGCGTAATCTGACTTAAAGGACAATGCTACAAGAAAGACAATGAGGTGCTGGACTGAGTCCAGGGGGGGACTACAAACCTGGTGAAGGGTCTGGAACACAAGTCTGATGAGGAGTGGCTGAAGGAGCTGGGGTTGTTTAGCCTGGAGAAAAGGAGGCTCAGGGGAGGCCTTATCACTCTACAACTACCTGAAATGAGGTTGTGGCCATCTGGGGGTCAGCCTACTCTCACAGCTAACGAGTGCTAGGACAAGGAGAAACTACCTCAAGGGGAGTTGTGCCAGAGGAGATTTAGATGGGATGTTAGGAAAAATCTGTTTACTGAAGCATGGCTGAGAATTGGAAGAGGCTCCCTCGGGAAGTAGTAGGGTCCCCATCCCTGGAGATATTTAAAAGATATGTAAATATGATGGCTAGGGACATGGTTTAGTGGTGGGCTTGGCAGTGTAAGGTTAGTGATTGGACTGATCTTACAGGTCTTTCCCAATTTCTATGATTTGGTAGGTGCTGCTCCTTAGAAGAGGAACAGCTGCAGTTTATTAGCTGAAGACTGGTGCTGTAAAGTAAGGGAGGAGAAGAAAGCATGCCTTCAAGTAGGATTTTAGGAATACATTTCACATACCAGCAGTATCTCTGCAATGCCCTCACTTTGCTATGTCACTGCTCCTGAGTAATCCTGTTGAGTTCAGGTCTGTTCAAGTCAGCAGTAAACAGGATCTGAGCCATAGCTTGCTAGCTGTGAGTACATGTTCTCATGATGAGGCTGTGGAGCTCATGGCTGGCTAAATGCTGTGCTGATAAGTTATTGCCTCTTGTGTTATGAAATGCAGGGTATCAGTTGAGATGGAGTGGTTCTGTGCATATCTCTAAATATTATGATGAGACAGTCATTAGTCTGAATGTGGTCTATGAGAATGAGAAGTAGTGTAAACTAATAATACTAATTTTTTCAGCATTTTTAAAAAGCTTCTTGTTCCATTTACATAATTATGAGGAAATACATGATGTGAATTAAATGTAGTTACAGAACTATCAGGAAAGCTAGCAATGTAACAGTTTTTTGGTTTGTTTGTTTTTTTTTCTCTCCTCCTCCCTCAAAAGATGAAGTCATAACTTCACATGGTGCAATTGAACCAGATAAGGACAATGTCCGCCTAGAGCCATATTCTTTGCCACAAGGTTTTATGTGGGACACATTGGATCTTAGCAATGCTGAAGTTGTAAGTAGAACAATTTTTATATGTATCTAAAATAATTCAAGTTTTTTCTGATTCATATGTGGATAAGTCTTTGGATTTTTTTGTGTATGTTTTCAGCTGAAGGAGTTATACACACTATTAAATGAGAATTACGTAGAAGATGATGATAATATGTTTAGGTTTGATTATTCACCTGAATTTCTTCTGTGGTGAGTAGCAAGTTCCACATTTTGTTCTGGCTGGAGTGCAGTGAAGGGTGTTTTTATTACATCTTCTTAGGCAGTAATTTGTAATTATTTCTGTCATCAATTCTAGGGCATTGCGTCCTCCGGGCTGGTTACCGCAGTGGCACTGTGGGGTTAGAGTGTCTTCAAACAAAAAGCTGGTAGGATTCATAAGTGCCATCCCTGCAAATATTCGTATTTATGACAGGTAAAATGCACCAGTACTTTTGTATTTGTTAAAGAATAATGCCACAAAACAAACCTTGAACTGGTATCCATTGCTATAGAGAACTTAAAAAGAGAGAACAAGGTGAAGAGCACCAATGTTTATTTAAGGAATTTCCTTAACGATGGATGATACAGATAATGCCATACAGTTTTCTGACCCTGCTGAAAAGCATTTCTAGTTGATCAGCTGGGCTTCTTGGCCAAGTCTTCATACACTGACAAACATAAAGCATTGTGACTCCACATAGCATTGCTTGGATGCTATACTGCATCTTAAAGTAAAGCAATCAGTTAAGTCTTGATAGAGCTCTGGTAAAGGAGTATTGCAAACCTCTTAGAGATAGGTTGCATATTGCAGTTTGTCACTGCAGTCACATAGGCACAGATTAGTGTTCGTTGCAGATGTACTTTGTCACAGACAAGTTTATTTAACTTCAAATTCTTCTGTCACGGTATGGAAAATTGTAATTATAAAAATGAAAACATGCAGTGTGTAACTCTCTTTAACTTTTCCATTACTTAATGTCTTTTTAGTGTGAAGAAAATGGTAGAAATCAATTTTCTGTGTGTCCATAAGAAACTGAGGTCTAAACGGGTGGCACCTGTATTGATTCGAGAAATAACCAGAAGAGTAAACTTGGAAGGAATTTTTCAGGCTGTTTACACTGCTGGGGTGGTACTTCCCAAACCTGTGGCCACTTGCAGGTAACCTAGGTGATGTTCTTAATATTATTGGCTCATATAACAGTAATTTTTAGGAAAATTTAATGCAATTGTCTAAAACCAGTAAAAGCATAAAATTCAAAGCTGTTAAATGTTGTGGCCTTGACTAACCTGAAGGCCTGAGTGTTTGTCACTGTTGGTTTTTTTTGGTGTTGGGGTTTTTTATCCCCTCTTCCCTCCCAGTGCCCCGGATAAAACAGCTTCTCGGACTAAAATTTAATTTGTGGTTTGTTTAGCATACTTTAAATAGACTAACAGATGTTTCTGTTGACCTTCTGCTGGCAGCCCTGCTAGCAATGACAACATTGTATACCTGTGTTTTTCAAGTGGCCTGTGTCTTTACTGGGACACTTCCCTGTTAACCTGGTTGCTTGCCAGAGATGGCAGAGCATTTCTGGTAATTGTATGATTTGCTTTTTTGAAATACTTTCATCTTTCCTGGACAAAGGAGGACTTTATTGGCACTTGATAAATACAGGAACACTACCATGTGGGAAGAGTTACAGTCAAATATAATTTCATTTGCTTGGAATGGATTTTATTTTGACTTGGAAAAGTTCAGTTCCTGCACTTTTAGCCCAGCTGTTTAGACTTCTGGAGGACAGAGTACCTTTTGATTTGAAATTGTTTTGTACCTATCAACACCAAAGATCCTGTACGTTTCTGTAAGGAGTGATGAGGGTGGGAAATAAAAAGCTTTGCTGTGTTAGAATAACCAGAGATGCTCTGTTGCACAATGACCTCCCAGGAAAGGGGGAGCTCCTTTAAAAAAATACTCAGACATGAGCAGAGGGCCCTGTCTGCACAAGAAAATAAATGTTGCTATGTATGTATGGAGAGTTTTTCAGGGCTGTGACAAATGCTAAAATGTTTAGCCCTGTGCTTATTCATTCTGTATCAAAAAGCATTTGCTTAGATTGAAAATACTGTGATAGCAGGCTTGTTTTAAAACCTATGACATGGATATAGCTTTTCTTTAATTTTTGTTTTGTTTTGTTTTGGTTTTTTGTTTTTTTTGTTTTTTTTGTTTTGTTAATCAGCCTTCTTATAGATATAGTACAGGCTTGCTTAGAAACAAATTTGGAGCGTTGAAAAGGAGGAAGCAAGAAAGCAGGGCAATGGATGCAAGTGACACTGACACTTTGAAAACTATTTAAATTTGTGATTTGGTTGTATTTCCAGGTATTGGCATCGATCACTAAATCCCAGAAAATTGGTGGAGGTGAAATTTTCACATTTGAGTAGAAACATGACTCTACAAAGAACAATGAAGCTCTACAGACTTCCTGATGTAAGCAGTATGACTTCTAGAGAATCCCCACAGTTATTGTGAGGCCCAAAATAACCTTCCATCTGTCTCTGACAGCACAGGCTTTTCTGTGTAAAGGCAGTGCATGCAGGACATTAAAAAAATAATCTCTGATTGATGAAAAGGACCTTAAGGGCTATACTAAACAGAAGAGACTATTGCTGGAAATCTGGATCTCTATGGAGAAAATACAAATTTTAACCTAAAATCCTTAAACAAAGGAAAAAATAAAACCCAGAAAGCTTGACTTCACAAACATGTGGGATTGAGTTGAAGATGCATAAGACTATTCTTGGTATGTTTAATCTGATAAGAGATTACTGGAACAGAAAATCAGCAGTTCATGTCTTAACATTCTCAGAGAAGTCCATCAGCAACTTGGCTGATACAAGTGTATTGTTGATTCCACTCTAATTCACATTTTTTCTGTACTGTCAGAGAGTGTTGTTTTGCATTGAGCAGGCTCAGTAAAAGGCACTTCAGAATGTTGTGCACTGTTAGTTTGCATGGTCTAGTAAAAAGCAAGTATTCTGGCATACCTAGGTTAGTAAATGTTTTTTTTTTCCTTATGCTTTCAGCTAATAGTTAAACTTGCAAAAAGCCTTAGGGTGCCTTTCCATGACAGGGCAAGTCACTGTAAATGCTATGTACTGTTAAAAATCTCATTGCTGTAATTAATAGCCTGTAGAATTTAGTCTGAGCTGTATGGCTGAAAACAATTTATTTGCTTGTAAAAGCCACCTTTTTTGAAGAGATTGCAGAGTATCCCTTACCTGTACCTTATCAATAAACCTCTCTTTATTTAAACAAACCCTCTCTTTTAGTTAAAACCAACACCTTATTTCCTCACTCACAGTATTTATACTGATTGATCTGATTTTGGAGAATTGTGTCTGTTGCTATCTTTGACTTGCTCAGATTTCTGAGCAGGAGGCTGGGCAGCCCTTGGAATAAAGCACGTGCCGTGCCTTGATCCGTGCTCCCGCTGCTATGGGAGCGCCTCGTTTCCTGCTCCGCCTGCCGCCACCTGTGCTGCACTCGCAGCTTCTCCCTTGTGTGCAGGGCAGCACTCAGAACCAAATTAATTGGGTTTTAATCTTGGGCAGCTAAATATAGCTGCCATCAAATCTTGAAGGCATTTTTAACAGGCTGAGGAGTGTAATTTACAATTTCAAGTGTAGGTTTTGGTGGCAGCTCTAGTAACATTGCTTATGGAAACAACTGAGGAAGTGATTAAAACATAAGGATCTTACTCATAGCTCCAAAGGTGTAACTACAGAGAATCATTAGAAATAGCATTTGTATCCTGATCATTTTCCTTTATCATAAAACCAAGTTTTGACAGAGAAGTGAATTTTGGAAAGTAAGTAATATATCATTATCTCATCTATAAAATATAGCTAAGGCAAACATACACTGTACATAGAGGTGCAAATAGAAGATAGGTGTTCTCAAAATCGACTTTTAAAACTAAGTGATGTAGGAGTTCATACACCTCAGAATTTGTTATTTTTAGTTTGCATTGGGAGCTTCTCAGTGGAAAATAAAGATTTAATCTTTGTTCTGATGTTTTCTCTTTAGGTCTTGTGCTTTGGGCTTATTTGGAGGCTTTTTTTTTTTCCTGAGAAAGGGATTAAGTGCTGTTGAGGGTTTTTCTCCTCAGTTTCAGGCAGTTATACACACTACTGTCAAACAAATTTGTCCATTCAGTCCATGCTATCCTGTCCCTCAGCACCAAACACTGTTTCTTGCATTTTAACCTCTTTTCTTAATGTCCTTGGAATATCATTGCCACTAGGAGCTCATCTCCCTTTAAGAGAATTAATCATTCCTAATCACTTGAACAGCCTGAATTAAAAATGTTTTCAGGTGTAATAAATACTGTAATTAATAAATATCACCCTCCCTAAAGGCTGTGCATGTACCTATAGATAAAAAAAAAAGTGTTTTTTTCCTAAGTGTTTGATCTCTTGAGCAAGGACTTTTCTGGAAGAAGTAAAATTTGTCAGTATTTAGAGTCAGGACAGGAGTATGTTTGTCTCTGTTGTCTTTTCCTGACCAGCTGAGATCCTGATGCATGATTACGTGCCCAGAGAAACAAATTTTAGCACAGTTCTGTACACTTCCCCTCACCTCTGGGATTGCAAATAGTCACTTACTGGTGGTGATTCTGAGCATTACTGGGGGGAAAAAGATCTTCCACCTCAGCTGCTTTTCCTCCATCCTTCCTGTATGTGTCAAGTGTACACCCTTCTGGAATGAGAGCATTTAAAAATACAGCTGATGTGCTGTTGTGGAGTCAAAATATAGTCCCAGGCTGCCTAGAAAAGCAGGAGGACTGAATTGTAATACATAGGCCAGAGCTGTGGCTAAATGTTCCTTGATTTCTCATCTGGCTGCTGACTCCCAGAGTGCAGGAATAAACATCTCCCCCAGAATAATGCCTTTTGGGCCAAGCCTAATCAGCTACACTCATTGCAGGCTTCCAGTAATCAAGTCTCTACCTGGCTGCTCTTGCCTTTTACTTTGCTATGATTAATGTGGTACGTGCCCAAGTATGGAGCTCAGACAGAGGAGGCAGGATAAATGAGCACTGAAGAGAGCAAGCATTAGCCTCCCCAAAAGGAATTCTCCAGGAAGGCTGGCAAAAGATGGGAGGAAAACTTTAATCACTTTTGCTTGTTTAAACAATAATTGCATAATACTAGAAAGTAATTCTTTCCTTTTTTGATGTTTAAAGTCAGAAAAATATTTGTTAAAATAGGTTTTAATTTCAGACAGCTGTAAGTTATGAGAAGCTTTCTTGTTACCAGAATAGCAGTTGTGCCTGTGTAGAAGGTTGTTAGCAAGGAAGTTTACAAGTGCTAAAAATAGGTAGAATCTTTTTTGTTAAATAATTTATAATTAAACTTAATCAGCTGACATTGATTTTAACTGTGATTTACAAAAGTTTGAATTGCATGTGGTCTTGTCTTGAGATAACTTCTGATATGTAAGTTTCTTTGTTTTGTTTCCGTGTCTGGGCCCCATGTAGTTTAGAAGAAGATAAGAAATAGATTAACCTAAAAAAAAAAATAAAAATACAAACTGCACAAAGTGTAGGCAGCTGGTGATGGTATGTCTTTCTCTGGAGAAATGAAGCTGTTTCAATAATGAAATTAAAAGATTGAAGTGCCCCAGACTGTCCCAATAATTAGAAGAGAGGGAATTCTGATTGAAAGCTGTGTGTAAAATAGCATAATGAATTAGGTGGCTGGGATAAAGTAGGCTAATAATGAATGCATTATAGCAAGTGGAGTGACTCTGCAACCTACTTTCAGCCTTTGCTGTGTGTGCAGTTTTCCTTTTAACATCCTAACATTTATTTTTCTTTTTTTCACTAAGGCCACAAAGACTTCAGGTTTGAGACCAATGGAACAAAAAGATACTAAAGCAGTACAAGAATTAATCAATACTTACTTGAAACAGTTTAATCTTGCTCCTGTGATGGATGAAGAAGAGGTGGCCCACTGGTTCCTGCCTCGGGATCATATTATTGACACTTATGTGGTAGAGGTAAAATATGCACTAACATATATTAATGTGAGTGTCCCTCAGTAGTTCAGAGCACTCTGCACCCAGAGTGCCAGACAGTAGTTCATATCAGCATCAAGTTCTTGAAGTGCAGGCAGTATGAAATATGTGTGTTATAGGTAGAATTTGATACCACAACTACAAGCTTTGTTCTTTGTATTACATTCTCTTAATAAGAAAATGTTTGCCTGTGATAAACTGCAGTGCTCTTATAATAGAATATCTTAAAGAAGAATTCTGAAATATCAAAACATCACTATCTTGACAAGAACCCTGCATATTTTGAGATCAACTTTTCCACCTGCATTTCCTGATTCTTTTTTGCAGAGGTATGACATGATACTAAGCAGTGGTCTTCAAACCTCCTTTTCTAGAAAAAAGGAAAAAGTATGCCATGACTGAGATAAGGATTTGGTTTGGATTGGCTATCATTCTCCCAGGTGTACACGTTTCTGCCATACACCATTACAAAATTCTGTTTAAAAAAAACTAATTTTAGAGGCACCTGCTGGGGGAATTATGTTTTTTTGATGGTTTGCTTTTTTTTTACACACTGGTAAAGTGTGTTTTTTTTCCAGTAAAAGAATGTGTGTACAAATGCGTATGAATTAGTGTATATATGAATATATATATATATATATATATATATATATATATATATATATATATATATATATATATATATATACACATACATACACATCTAGCACCCCCACCCTCCAGAGAGTTGGTCATAATGCTTCTCTCAAAATAAGGAGTGCAGGAATAGGAGTGCATTTGAATTGTAAATCTCCCAGACATGTTTGGAATAGGTGCAGTAAAGCTAGTGGAAAGATACACCCTTCTCTTTGAGTCCATATAAAATCAGTTGTATACAGCATATTTAGACAGTGTATTACTTTGCTTAAAGTGATAATGTTATTTTCAAATGATCAGGACTAACATCCCTAAACATTCTCCTCAGAAAAGCCCTAGGTTGTGAAGCTCAGTGTTCCCACATTGGAAACTGAATTTGTGCAGGAGCCTCAGCTGATTAGGGAACCTAGAGCTGCTGGAGATGAGTGGTCCTGCTCATCAGTTTTTATGATCCAAATTTAGCTTTCTGCTTTGTAGTGAGTCTAGTGCTCACTGGACTTTTCCATGGTCCAATTTATAGTCCTACCTTCTTTCTCCACTCCCTCTTCTCCCTGCCCTCTGCCCTGCTCCCTGAGTTGGTTTTTGGCTTGCTTTGTGAATTGAAGCCTACAGGAGAGTTCACAAGCACCAGGATTAGCATGAATGTGACATTAACAGTGCCACATTAACTAAACAGCACAGTCTTCACTTACTTGATTTATGCTGTCTCTTGAACTATTTTTTTTTACTACACAAAATGTAGGTTTGTTAGTGCTTAAAATCTTTTTAAGACCTGGAGAAGCTACTATCAGACTTTTAAGTCATCTTTGTAATGTGCAGATCTAAGACCTTAAAATACTCTGTATAATTTATGAGTTAATATTTTTGTCATCCTTACTGAATTTAGTGAGTGACTCAATAACTTTTCTGTTCCTTGTAGTTAGTATTACTCTACTACAGAATCTGTACCTGCTCTAAGACAAAAGCTTTTTTGCATGTGGTAGGTTCAATTGCTTTACATTTTACTGTAGAAGTACTATTAATTTAAGGAGCCATCTGAGGTCCTTCATTAAACTCTAATTAGTGGTTACTAGTCATTCAAAAGTAAAGCAAACAAGCAAGAAGTATTTGTGTGTCTCCTTTACCTTATTTTCTTGGAGATGCTCTGGGGAGTTTTTACTAATATGCTTTGTATACCAGCACAGTAGATTTTTTCTCTGTTTTTAGAAAGATGAGAAAAATATTCTTTGATGTGAATGTCATCGGGTTTTTAAAATATCTATCATATTTTAAGAATATTTTATTTAAAATGAGTTCAGTCAGAAAAAAACTTTGATACTTTCAGTGGAAGTGTGCTTTGTTAGCTTTGCCCATAGAAAACGACTGTTTTGACAATTGTTTGTCAGAATGTTAGTGGTGTAATAGACTAGAAAAATCTAAATGTTAGTTTCCTCTTAGCTAAGACTAGCTGCTATGCCATAGTACTTACAGTACTCAAACCTTGCTGCATTTATTGCTTTTGGTAGAACTGTCACATCAGCCTAACCAGTAACTGATTACTTATTAATGGACTTTTTTGTTTTGGTTTCCTATAGGGTTCAAATGGTATTTTAACAGACTTCCTCAGTTTCTACACATTACCTTCAACAGTGATGCATCATCCTGTTCATAAAAGCCTCAAAGCTGCCTATTCCTTTTACAATATTCATACAGAGACTCCCCTGTTGGACTTAATGAATGATGCACTCATTATAGCTAAATTGGTAAGTTGTAGGTTGGTTTTTTTCTGCTTCATTCACAAAAGTATTCCTAGGAATAGTGACAAGGTAAGAACTGGAGTAATTTATCCATGCCAGTGCATTTACAGCACAGAGTGCAGTTGATGAGACATAAACAATATATATATCAAAATATAAAGCAGTATGCTTGTTTTTCCTTTTTACTCTGAGTGATGCTGGGGAATGACAAATGCATAATATTTTCATTAGCTTGAACTGTGGATACACCCAAGAGCACACTGATGACCATAGTTACTAAGTATCAGAGGAATGAAAAGTATCACTAAAATAATTTCCCTTGGAGATAAATTCATATGCGCTACCAAATACATTTTGCTTTTTTAGATTATTTTTTGTTCCTAAAAAATTTAGAAATTTATTTATGTGAGCTTTATCATGTTGTCATTGCTCCATGTAAAGCTCTGTAGATGATGTCATGGTGTAGCTTTTAAGCATACACTTAGGTATGGAATTATACTGATAGATGCTTGGTTGAATGGAAGGGAAAAGACTATAAATTTCTTCTTAAACAGAAGAATTTTGAGAGTTTAGTACTGTCTAATGAAAAGCTATCTCTCAGCTCTTAGTGACTGTGGTTTCATGGGAGTACAGTGCTAACACCAGTGGCACATGCCAGCACTCTGAATTTGCACAGACCTGTTTGCCCTGGGTGGTTCAAAGCATTGCACAGGCTTCCTGTGGTCCATAGCACCCACTCTGCCACCATTCCCAGCAGGCTGCAGACACAGGAATGTTTTCTGCTCCTCCCTCCTGCACTGCTGGTGGTGTTAGAGCCTCCTGGGAGTGCTCCAAGCTGCCTGCACCTGCCACAGAGGTTTCTGTGCTGGTTCTGGATGAAGCCAGTGATGGTCTGCAGAGACTGTCTGTATTCAGACTGCATCAAAGCAGCCACACAATCTTCAGCCTGTCTGTCCCAGCCACGTTCAAACAGCACAGCAGCTGAGCTGCCATCTGTGATGGGAACTGCTTGCTGAGGCTTGTTAACCTAGAAGCAGTTCGGTAACTGTATGTCAGGGAAAAATCCCTGATGGTTATGGGAAATATTGTTGTTCAGGCTCCAGAATGATCCAAAAGGAAGTTCAGAGACAGACTTTGAGAAGCCAGTATTATTTTCAGGAGTGACTAAAAATACTGGTAATTATTCTTAAAAGTCAAGGTGGAAAAAGGTTGGTCTGGGTTAGAAGTGTGGCACCAGGGATCTGTGTGTCTGTCCATTCTCTAGGCTGTGTGTCTGGCCATTCTCTAGGCTGTGTGTATGTCCATTCTCTAGGCTGTGTGTCTGGCCACTCTCTAGGCTGTGTGTCTGTCCATTCTCTAGGCTGTGTGTCTGGCCATTCTCTAGGCTGTCTGGCCATTCTCTAGGCTGTGTGTCTGGCCACTCTCTAGGCTGTGTGTCTGGCCATTCTTTAGGCTGTGTGTCTGGCCATTCTCTAGGCTGTGTGTCTGGCCATTCTTTAGGCTGTGTGTCTGTCCATTCTCCAGACTGTGTGTCTGGCCACTCTCTAGGCTGTGTGTATGTCCATTCTCTAGGCTGTGTGTATGTCCATTCTCTAGGCTGTGTGTCTGGCCACTCTCTAGGCTGTGTGTCTGTCCATTCTCTAGGCTGTGTGTCTGGCCATTCTCTAGGCTGTGTGTCTGTCCATTCTCCAGGCTGTGTGTCTGGCCATTCTCTAGGCTGTGTGTATGTCCATTCTCTAGGCTGTGTGTCTGGCCATTCTCTAGGCTGTCTGGCCATTCTCTAGGCTGTGTGTCTGGCCATTCTCTAGGCTGTGTGTCTGGCCATTCTCTAGGCTGTGTGTCTGGCCACTCTCTAGGCTGTGTGTCTGGCCATTCTCTAGGCTGTGTGTCTGTCCATTCTCTAGGCTGTGTGTCTGGCCACTCTCTAGGCTGTGTGTCTGTCCATTCTCTAGGCTGTCTGGCCACTCTCTAGGCTGTGAGTCTGTCCATTCTCCAGGCTGTGTGTCTGGCCATTCTCTAGGCTGTGTGTCTGGCCATTCTCTAGGCCATGGTGGGACAGGTGAGGAGGCAGTTCCATGGTGTGACCCCAAGGCTTTGCACCTTCCCCTGCATACATTTCTCTCTCAACGTGAAATGCAGCTCTTCCCTTTTGAGCAGATCATCCTATATCCCTTGCAATACTGGGATTTAGACACCTGTGGATTTCTTAAGTACCTGCTGGGCCTGTAATGCATCATTAGATGCCTAATTGTAGTTGCAGATCTGGCAGTTGAGTTTTACATGAGGAGAGTAAGGCAACAGTGGAGAGATGATAATGCATCCTATTCACAGGCTTTGTTTACAAACATGGTGAGTCTGGCTGGGATGGAGTTAACTTTGCTCCTTGCAGCCCATATGGTGCTGCACTTTGTCACTGAAGCAGGGCTGATCACACACCAGGGTTTTGGTTGTTGCTGAGCAGTGCTTGCACAACCTCAAGGCTTTCTCTGTCCCCTGCAGTGAGGAGGCTGAGGGTGGACTAGAAGTTGGGAGGGGACATGGACACACCTGTCACAGGACAGGTGACCCCAACTGACCAAAGAGATGTTCTGCTCCACAATAAAGGCTGAAGGAAAGGAGGAGGAAGAGAGGATGCTTCCAGTGATAGCATTTATGTTCCCTAACAATCATTATGCATGCTGAGATCTTGCTTCCCAGGAAGTGGTTTGACATCTGTCTGGCAGTGGGAAGTAGTGAATGTATTCTTCTTTTTGCTTCCCTTGTGCCTTCAGCTTTTGCCTTCTCTGTTAAACTGTCATTATTTCAATTCACAAGACCTCTTACCTTCCTTCTATTTTCTCCCCATCCTGTGGGAGAGCAGTAAAGCAAAGGCTGTGTGGGTGTTTGGCTCTTGTCTGGGGACAGTCTCCACCACAGTCTCCTTTCCGTACTTTAACTCCAAAGCATGGGTTTTGGAGATACAAATTCAGCTCAGCAAATTGATTTAAGGTTTTGCATGCCAGCTAATGTTTATTTTTATCTTCAAATCACACTATATAAAATTAATTTAGAATTAGTTTGGCCGTTACAGGACAAAACACCTGACCTTCAAAGTAAAACCCGAAATTTGGAGTTGTTAACTTAGGTTCTATGCATTCTGCATGGAGAGACAGTGACATTTTGCATCAGAATAACCCCTCTAAAACCCTGCATATTTTATTGTTGAAGCTGACACAAAGTTTCTAGATCTAGAACACAGGGAAGAAATTCTCTTCTGAGTCTGGTTAAGTGATCTGTCAGAGCTGCAGAGAAAGCACCTTGGAACAGAAACCTTTTTATCCCTCTCAGAAGATCCTAAGCTGAAACTAATCTGCTGATATTTAGATACTGAATTAAAACTACATCTGTAGAGTTTTGTTTGAATTTGGAGTGTTTAATTGCAGACCTTAATGTGCTTGTATCTAGAGTGTGTCTCTATCCTCCCCCACTTCCTTTCCTGCCTTCTGAGATTGCTGTTACTGTTACTTACTTACTTGGAATATTTCAAAATTTAATTTCAATGCCAAATGTCAAATACTGTCACCTCATTGTCTTATTTCTGCATGTTTTTCACAGCACATTTAACTTAGCATGGTGTCATCTGCACACAGAATGATCTTTGTGTAAGGTAGCAGGAAGCCTTATTAAACTCACTGTCTGTGCTTTGTAACTTTCTTTTAAATAGTCCTGATGAAGAGTTTAAGTGCTCTTTTTCTTCAAACCCCCTTTTTCCTAATATGGGATGCTCATTTAAAAGAAAAAAAAATCTATTTTTTTTTACTGAGTAAAGAATGTTCCTTACCCCATCTTCTTGTGCTTAAGTAATTGAGCATTATTGTTTTGTACCTTTTGTCTTAAAAGTGTGTCATGTCCTGCTGGTGCTGTACCTTTGTGCTGTTAAGACTCCAGGAGCTTGGGTCAGACTCCCTTGTAGTTAATTGCAAATAAATTGAAAATAAATGGATTTTATATCCACACCCCCAAGCAAATTCAGCTCTCCATATGTGATGATTATTGCTGCAATGGCTTACCAGGCCTGGGCTTTAGGCTGCTTGTTAAGAGTTCCCAGTGAGGAGAAAGGGTTTGAGTATGTGTTAATGGAGGAAAAACTCTTTGAGACTGATTTGGCCATGTGGCTCTTCTGAGACAAAAAATGTCTCTTTGTGGTGAATTTGGGAGGTTTATGAATGAGGATTTGGTAGAGAGTGCACAAGTAAGGGAGGGAGAATCACATGAAAGATTTGAGTTCTAAAGAGAATGGCATTTCAGAAAAGGACTAAATCACAAAGGTATGTTTATCATTAATAGAATGATAAATTGCTGAAAACCACAGTAACTGTATTATGCAGCTTCAGCTAGAATAGGCCATATGTGTCAAAACACTGTATGTGACTGTAAAAAATGCATGTCTCTAAGGGTAAAATAATGGAAAACTCTTTAGGCATTAGGCCTCGAAAATGGCTTTAAAATTTATACCCTTTTGGAGCTAATCTTCAAGTACTTGTGCATTATACTTTAGTTTTTATTGAGAAAATGTCATCTTATGGTACACTATCTTAATTAGGTACACAAATGTGTGTACCTAATTAAAAGACAAGATTTATTCCATTGTATTTTTTCCTTTTAATTAGCCTAAGTCTCTTGGATACCGTATGCCACTCTGTAAAGTATCATTTGTGTGTCACTTGAAAATTTCAAAAGTAAAATTTTAAAAATGTTTTGCTGTTGCCAGAAAGGATTTGATGTGTTCAATGCACTAGACTTAATGGAAAACAAAACATTCCTGGAAAAACTCAAGTTTGGGATTGGAGATGGAAATTTGCAGTATTACTTGTACAACTGGAGATGTCCAGGCATGGAATCTGAAAAGGTAAGGCAGAAAAATGAGTTCCTGAATTCCATTAGATGTAATGGTACATGAGTTTACACTGGCCAACAATGGGCAGAAGTTTTAAAAATACTGTAATTGGCCCTGTTGATGATCCATAATTGAAATGCAGAAGACTGCTGATGTTTAGATTTACTGCCATACTTGAACTAAAATACCATATTTTTCTTCTTCCTTTAGGTTGGTCTTGTATTACAATGAGAACGCTTATGTTTCTAGAACTCTTGAGGTCATCCTTTGAGTTAATTTGATCTCCATAACTCTTGAAATGGTCTTGTTCAAGAGGAGTAAAAGCACAACGTCAGTGATACTGAAATAGTCCATTAAATCTGATCAATGAAGACATCCACATGTGACCAAATTTATGCATTTTCAGACAGATCAGACGGTTCATGAAACTCTTCTATTGTCCATGAAAAGAATAAAAAGCACATTCATTTAAGTTTCAAAGCTTAGCTTGCACCTGGATGAGAAGAAGGTATTTTTTTCCACTCTGTAGAAAAGACTGTTTTGTATAAACTGAACTTCAGTGGTGGATTAGGGTACAAAAATATTTGCTATTATGTGGATGAACTGCTGCATTTCTATTTATTAAGTGGTGATGTATGTATGTCAGTGTAATAGAATGAAGGATACAAACTGGAGTATCTTTGCTTATTTACTTAACATGGATATCATCATTTGGGGGAAAATCATGAAGTATGATACCTTTGTAGCTCTATGAAAGTCCTGGGTGTTTTTGTAACTGGAGCAGAATGACAGTGTACTGGTTTAACTAGTGCATTTGTTTCTCCATAAGCAACGCTGCCAAATCAATAAAAAATACAGATTTGTACTTTGATCTTCAATAGATCAGTGGATTGATTTAACAGTATCGCACTGTTCAGTGCAGGTGTTATCTGTGTTGCCAGAATGATAATACATTACTGTACTTAATTTACAGTTGTGGCACAATACCTTAGTTTTTCCTCAGTAGAATAACATCAGCCTGTGTGTAAAACTAAGAATTTTAGTAGTGCTATCAGGATATTTATAGTTTGAATGTTTTCAACGCTTCTGCGAAATTGCACATATTCCTTTGTCTACTCTGATTTCCTATGAAGTCTGTAATTCTAATGAAAAGTACCTTGTGTAAATATGTATTCATAAATTGTTCCTGGTAGTGTTTTTATCCTGACTTTGGAACAAGAAGTTTTGCTATATACGTGGCTGGTAAGCAGAAGAGAAATGCTCTGCCCTCAGTCCTTGGAAGTCTCTGTATTGCACTTCCTGAAATGTAGAAGGGCTGATCTTTGTTGTTGGGTGGAACTGTTTTAATTTCCTCATGAATGCTCGGCAATGGGAGTGGCTTCTGAAGCACTTTATATGCATTCCAGCATAGCGTCATAGCTAGAGATGATAGCAGTTCTTTCAGCTCATGGATGCTGCAGAAGCGTGAGCACTGAGAAAATCTGTGTTAAGAAACTGTTCTAGCTGAAAGTGCCAAATTGTGGTATAGTGAAGCCTCTGTGCTGTGAGCATCTTTTGAATGTGACTTGAATATCTCATGAAATGCAAATGTCTAACTTTCCTTTTAAACATGCCTGTAATTCTGACAGCAGATTTTGCTGAAAGTTTAATTCTGTACATGAAGATAAATTTGTCTGTTCTTCATAACTGTTAGCCCTACCCACTACCTTGTAGCAGTGGGGTTTTTCTTTCTTCCCGCTCCTTTTCCACTGTGTGAATGGTTTGTGGTTTGGTTTCTTTTTCTTGTTGAATTGTGGTGAGAGGATTCTGCCCTAGAAACAGTGATAAATACTTTCCCTTATGCATTATAGCTGATTAAAGCATTCGACCTCCTTCAAACAAAGGAAGGGACTGAACGTGGTTTGTTTGACCCCTGGCTGTGCACCAGCTCAGGACCTCATGAATTTAAAAGGACTTCACAGGAAATCTCACAGTGCAGTTGGGCTTTACATCTCTGGCCACTCCTGATACCTCCCTCCTAGTAGCAGTAAAGCAGGTGGTGCAGAGACAGCTTGGACTCTATGTGAGGCCTGAGCAGAATTAAGTGCCTGAAAATGTAATTGATGTAGTGATACCTGAAGTAACAAGAAGGATTTTATCTTGACCCCATCAAAGACTTAAGTTTTTAACTCCTAGAAGACAAGATGGTGCCTCCTTGGCAGGCATTTTCATGGAGCACTCTGGGATGAGGTTCACCAAGGAGCTCAGTGTGTTCTGCTTCAGCTCTTAAAGGCAGAGCCTCCGCAGTCCTCACTCAGGGCTGCCTGAGGTGAGGTGGGACAGCAGGGCATAGCTCTGTCCTCGTAGCAAAGACATTCCTTGCTGAGACAGCCCAGGTGATCACAGCCCAGGTGAAGGATATGTTCATGTCTTCTGCCTTCCTTCCCCTCAAAAAATTGTGAGTGGAAGAAATGTTAGGCAGATGATTTCATTTCTCCTCTGAAATCAGAAGGCAGATCCTCCCAAGTATTGTCCTTTGTAAAAATGATAGGACCAAGTATGTCCAGGTAGAAGACAGACATGAATGTGGGTTTCCTGCAGCCTGGCTTCTGCCTAAATCTTCAGATTATGGCACGTGAAGGAAGGAGCATGGCCAGTCTTGTGCTCTCTTCTAGTAAAATAATGTCATTTGCTTCTGAATCCAGGGGATAAACTTGTCTGGCTCCCTCTGCATGTTCACTAGGGGGCTGGAGGGCAGAGACATGCTCCTGTAGAAGCTGTGCAGCACTGTAGCTGAGAGAGAAAATTTATCAGCCAGAGCATGAGGGAAACAGGCATCTAAGCCTGAGTGTTGGGGCAGCTCTTGAAGAGTTCTCTTCATGGACTTGTGTGTGTTAAGCATGGCCTCTTCTCTCCCTGCTGAGTGCTCTTCACTTGTGGTGTTTAGCTGAAGTATCACAGCATCAAGAGGACTTGAATCTTGAAGGTGTCCCAGCCTGCACCCACATAATGACTCCGGAGGTAAAAATTGTGGCAACTTACTTTGACTTCCTAGGCAGGTACTAAACAAAAGGTGAATATCTGTGTGATCTGTGTGGGGCCACTGTCAGGAGCTCAATAGGAGAGACCTTTCCCTTGTTTCCAAGGTGGAACCTGTGTGCATTAGTCCTGCTATGAAGGTAAGACTCCTCAGAACCTAATAGGTGTTTGCAAAGGCTTGGCAAATGTAAAGCTTGCTCTACCACCTTTCCCACCTGGCTTTTTAAACATCTGTTATTTCTTTCCCAAAGTAACTTCCTATCTGCAGAGGGAACTCAAATCCCTGAAGACAGAGATTAACCTGGGCAGGCAGTGAAGTGCTTGAAAGATGTTTTTATGTTGTTTACCAAAGCTAATCCTTATGCTCTGTCTAAATGCTACAACTCTTATGCTATGGTTAGCCAGCCTGGGAAGGAAATACACTAGTGCTAGCATGCCTTCAAGTTTTATGCACTCAGAAATCCAGAAAAAGGGACTTGTATAAAGGACTGTGAAGCAAGGCAAAGAAATCTCACCTCTTCTTGAACCCTCAGACACGGACAAAAATTGTAGCATTTAAATGCCGTGTTTAAACTTCAAGGAGCATCATGACTACACAATCACTGCTCATTGCTACTGCCTGTCTTCATAGTTGGTATCATGAACTAAAGCAATCTCTAAATAAATTCAAAATACAGATGAGCTATTGGATGGCAATGGAAGTCTGGATTAACAAATCTCTGAAAAATAATGTAAATTTCACCTTTTAAGGAACAAAAAAAGTTACTCAGTTAAGGTATTTTATGCTTTCTTCTACAAGTAAATTCCTAGGCTGTTGATTGCCTGAATTGCAGTGCTATTTCCCTTCCTTCCTATCACCCTCATTAGAAAATTGTTCATAGTCCACTGTAAATTAAAGGAAACTCAGAAATTACATTTTCAGTCTTGTAGCAGTTACAGTTCTCATTTACTTTATATAAAACAGTATATGGCTTATGTCAATTTCCTGGGAAATAATGTTAGATTTCATTTAGAGATCTAATGGAGTTTAGGTTTACATTTTCTCAGAGGATATGTGTTAATAGTTTGCATATGGAAGTATTTTTTTTAATACCGCAGCAGTAGTAATTTGGATTTGTATTTGGAAATAGCTTTTCCTTCAGCATACCATGCACCAGGAATCAGGTGGAACCCAAGTCTGCATACATTTGTGACCAAAAACAAGTTGTTCAGCAGAACAAATTATAATAAGAGTTCAAAAGGGAAGTCTGCCTGTGCTATTTACTTGAACCCAGCTTTAAAAGACTTATACTGGCATGGACCTTTGTTTAAATAAACTTTCAATTTTGGTATTTATTTGTTTGAGTAATTATACTTAAATCTCTTTTGCTTAAAGCATGTTCATCTGTGTAAAAAGACAAAGTTGATTTAATGCTTTGTATTCATTCCAAAGAAGTATAAATTATGTCTTAAAATTACTTTGGCATGTTCATTACCGGCTTTAACTCTGATCTCCAGCTGCAAATGAAAATACCTACCCCCAGTAAAGACTAACACTCAAGTCTGAGCAGTATTTTTTATTAAAGCAGAAAGTACCTCACCCAATGCAACATGAAGTTCACCTTGTATTCAAGACCTTTACACTGTAAAGCCTAAACAAACTGTTAGAACTGTACTCCATCCTGCATTTAAAAATCTGTTTAATAGAAAGAACCAAACTCAGTTATGCTGAAAAAGCCTTTTTCTTTTTGCGAGGTGGTTTCTTTATCTTATTGGGATTTGGGACAAGTTTCTTGATTTTCAAAGGCTGCAAAATTACATGTGAGAGATCGGGCCGGTTGCTTTCTGTATGCTTCCGCTTCTGACTCGTGAGCTTATCCCCGAGCACCTCTGCAAGCTCTTCGGGTTCCAGACTTCCTGAAGAATCTGTCTCTGCATAAGCCACGGATTCTTCAGTTCTGTACTGAAACCACGGCACTTCCAAGGCCGGGATCTTTGGGATTATTGCTGCTATAGCTTGGGTGAAGGTGTCAGAGTGCTTTTTGAAGCCGAGCGCCAGGATGGACGTCAGGCCGAGGAGGGGCGCGAGGGTCTCGCTGAGGCGCGGCACCTGCCCTGCCGGCGTGGCGCGGCTCGCGCTCAGCTCCACCAGGTGCGACGTGATCATTGCGGGTTTGGCAGACTTGCACACCAGCAAGAGGAGAAGTTCATTTTTTTCCAATGCTTTTGTAACTTCGTTAACTCCAATAGCAAGCTGTCTTCTGATACTTATGTCAGTCCATCCTGGTTTTTGTTGGTGGCTTTCTGCTTCCTCTTTAGGGAAATCATTGGTGCCGGCATCACACTTCCTTTCCGTTTGTTTTTTTGTGAGGGAACGTTTTTTCTTTCTTGCGCTCTCAATCTTTTTAAGTCCAATATGTTTAATCCTTTCTTCTAAGGTCTCCAGTATAAAATGCATATCTTCTCCATCTATGGTTTTCCATTGGAAAACAAAGGGGTTATCTAGACACGTTTTTACAGTGGTTTTCTTTGCTTTCCGAAGTGTTGCCGTGCCTTGCTGAATTACAGACATCCTGAGGTGGTTCTGTGTTTTGTCACCCTAGGAAGAAAGAGCAAAACGTTACTTCAAATACTGTACTGTCTGCTGTGGACATTGTTACCAGAAGCTTCTTCTGGGAATGCAGAAGAGAAACATTGCATGTCAGTGATACTGGCATCTATCAACCTCACACATCTTCCACAGGGCAGGTGTGGAGCTGGGTTTTTTTTAATAAATAAAAAAAGCTGGACAGGATGGTATGGCAACAGCAGTGACAACAGACCCTTTTAAAGCTGAACAAAAGCAGCTGGACATATTACAGATGTAAAAAAAAAAACAAAACAACAAACACAAGCCCAACCAAGCAACAACCTATCCCCAGAATCACAGGTTGAAGGACCACGCCATTTTCACTCTTGCACAGCTGCATTGCCCCTCTGTGACATGGGAGGGGAAAAAAAAGGCAAAAAATCACAACATGAAACAAGTTCCTGAATTTATTCAGGAATTCTATAAATCTGTTTTTTCAATCTTCAGTCCATGCCTTTGTGTTTCCCTGTATTTGGAAGGTACGATAAAAACTTTTGGACTCTTTAACAGTTTATGCTTTCAGGGAAGGAAGGCAATCCCCTACATGTCTCCAGAAGTTCAGAAGGGGTCTTTTGTGTCACCTGGACAATGCCTTCAGGGCTAAGAAAAACTGAACAGGAGCAGAGAAAGTGTAATTGTTCTTGCTCTGATTGATCTAGTCCAGAGTAGCAGTGAAGACATGAGGTCAAGCCTGAGGGCAGTCCCTGGTAAATTGCAAAGCCCCCAATTCCAAAATACAAAAAAAACCCACCGGGGCACTCTTGAGTACTCTCAGAATAACCTATGAAATGCCCTGGGTCACCTTAGTGATGGTCCATCCATTCCAGTTATCTGCCTCCAGCGGTGGAAACTGGAGAAACCAGCTGGGGAGGACAGAGCTGGCATTCCCCTCAACTCCCAAACATCCAGAATGATTGCATCTGGGATGTAAGGATAAAGATGTGCCGACTTCACCTATTAGTCCTTCATGGAGCTATCATTCGTGCAGTTATCCCTTTTGCTTACCATCACAGTAGCAGCAACCAAAAAGTGAACACAACTAAAAAATGGAAATGACCATAAGAATCCTTACGTGTGACTCAGTTGAAATGAAAGCTTGTGATTAAAAAAAATGAGCTCTGGGTTATCGCTTTTAAAAGCTTTCAATTAGGGATGCTCTGATAACCTTTGGCAAGCAAAATCAGCAACAGACACGTACAAGAAAAAAAAAAAAAAAGGAACGTGTCCACAGTTCAGAGATTACATTTTTCTTTTCAAAATGGGCATTCCTGAAGAAAACAAGCGTGCAGGAGTAAGGAAACAGAGCAACGAGCGAACAAACCAACACAGCTCCTCCACCTCGCACCGCGGTCGCGACCCCCTGGCTTCCGGCGGAAGGGAGATCGCAGAGACGCCGCCCGCTCCGCCAGGAGCCTCCGCAGCGCTTCCGCCGCAGGGCGCTCCGGGGGCTCCGCCAGCTCCCGGCAACAGCGAAACGCGGGCTAAGCACGGCCCCGCACAGCGCCGGCTCCCTGTGGGGCGGGGGCTCCGCCGACACCGCAGCACCCTCTCCCCAGACCGCAGCACCCTCTCCCCGGGCCGCCGCCCCTCAGCCGCCAAGCACTGCGGGCCGGCCCGGGCCCGGGCAGCGGAGCGGCCTCCAGCTGCCCGACCGCGGGGCCCCCCAGACCGCAGCTGCCCCGCGCCCACCGGCGCAAAGCCCGCCTTACCTCGGCCTTCCCGCGCTCCAGGAACACGCCGCGGGACGCGGCCCGATCCCGCTCCGCCCCCGGTCTGGCCCGGCCCCGCTCTGCCCTCCGTCCCGCTCCGCCCCCGGCCGCGGCGGGGGAGTCTCTCCGCGGCGGGGCGGTGTCCGGAGCGGGCGAGCATGGGCCGCGCTTGGTCGGCTCCCGCTGCGGCGGCTCTCGGCGGGCGGTGCCCGCGCTGCGCTCAGGGCCGCATGGCCCAGCGGCCGTAGCGTTAGTGCACAGCAGCCATAAAGCGCTGGTGCCCAGGGCCTGCCCTTGGCGCCTCTCACCTTAGGCTCACTGCTGGCGCTCCCAGGGCTCCAGCGCTCCCGAAAACCGGCGCACAGGCGATGGCAGACCTGCTTAGTCCCATGTCAGCTAACGCAGTCAGGGCCGGGTCACCAGGTGCTTCATGGGGGCTTCACAGCCACAGGGGAGTCCCTCGCTGCGGTGCAGTGTGCGCCGTGCCGTGCACGGACATGGTGTGCTGTGACCAAGGTGACAGGTGAGGACTGATTCCATTCAGTGTTTCCTGCAATCTGCCCTCAGCTTTTAACAGATCATCACAAGTGCGTCCATTTTCCACATTCACCGCAGTGCACAGCACTGTTAAGCACAGCTTCTTGGCCCTGAAAGAGCAGAGCTTCTTTGCTAGGCCACCGGTACTACAGAAATGTTTCAAGTTTTTATTTTAATCTCTTATTTACTTACATTTACTTGGATTGTTTCCTTGTTAATTCCTGATTTAATTTAACCTGGACTTGTTTCCCCTCAAATTACTTTTTTGGCATGGTTTTATGGAAGTTAGTGGGTTAAAAAATGCAGAAGTACCTACCATAGACCAAACTATGCTTAGGAAATTATGTACATGTGAAAAACGCCAAGCACTTGTTTTTGTTTTTTTTTTTTAATTTTAAAAATTTAATAGTAATAAAATGGTTATAAAAATAGTAATACAATTAGAGTAATAATAATTTGGACAAGTTGAATTAGGACAATATGAGACAATAAAGACAAAGAGTTACAGACGTCCGGGTACCTTTTTCTGGGCAGCACGAGCCCGAAAAAGGGCACCCGTTAACAAAGGATTAACCCTTAAAAGCAATAGCCTGTTGCATATTCATACACTTCATACATGATGCATAAATTCCATTCAAATACAGGATTCTGTCTGGACATCGTCAACTTCTTCCTCCGAATCCTGACAGCGCCTTCGAGGCGGGAAGAAGTTCGTTTCTTCTGATAAGAGGGCAATAAATTCTTTTTCTATGAAAGATTTATGTGAAAAATGCATGTATTTTATGATTGGCTTTTCGCAAATATTAAAATGAATATTATATGTGTTGTGTTAGAAAGTAATGCTGTATTAGTTTTCTTAAGTACTGTGTTAAATATAGTTTTAGGTTATAAAAATTGTTAAAATAGAAAGGATGCTATGTAGGATACTTTTTTAAAAAGAAAGGACTCGCAGCGAGATAGCAGCCACAGGACACCTAAATCTTTCAGAGAAGAAGAATTTATTGCCCTCTTATCAGAAGAAACGAACTTCTTCCCACCTCGAAGGTGCTGTCAGGATTCGGAGGAAGAAGTTGACGATGACCAGACAGAATCCTGTGTTTGAATGGAATTTATGCATCATGTATGAGGTGTATGAATATGCAACAGGCTATTGCTTTTAAGGGTTAATCCTTTGTTATGTTAACAGGTGTCCTTTTTCAGGCTCGTGCTGCCCAGAAAAAGGTACCTGGACGTCCGTAACTCTTTGTCTTTATTATCTCATATTGTCCTAATTCAAACGGTCCAAATTATTATTACTCTAATTGTATTACTATTTTTATAACCATTTTATTACTATTAAATTTTTAAAATTTTGAAAACAAGTGATTGGCGTTTTTAACAATTTAGGTGTCCTGTGGCTGCTATGTCACTGCAAGTCTTTTCTTTAAAAAAAGTATCCTACATAGCATCGTTTCTATTTTAACAAGTTTTATAACCTAAAACTATATTTAACACACTACTTAAGGGAATTAATGCAGCATTACTTTCTAACACAGCACATATAATATTCACTTTAACATTTGTGAAAAGCCAATCATAGAATACGCATTTTTCACATACATAAGTGTATAGGGGCATGAATATAAACAATTCATTGATACAAGAGAGATGGATTTTTTTTTTTCTTCAGTGGTTACACTTGTAGGGTAGTTTATCAATTGATTTAATATTTTTATTCTATACTTAGTAGACCAAATTGAAAATCAGCATTCACAGTGTATTTTGTGTGTGTAGCCACTTGTGTGAGGCATCCTTGAGATGACCCTCGTGTTTTTCAGAGCTGCACCTGAAGGGTGCGAGGTCCCAGGTTGGCTGGACATGGACATGGGCAGGGACTGCGGCAGAAGGAACATTTCCAGTAACTGGACTGGTTGCACTTCAAATCACTCAAGAAATTCCTTTGTCAAACAAACGGCTTGGGAATCTCTCTGCTCTCAGCCTGGCAGCCTAATCCTCAGTGGTGTGGCTGGAGCTCAGGCTTTCAGCGGAAGCCACGGGGGCTTAGCGCTCCCTGCCCGCCGCCCCTTCCCGGTCCCGCTGGTTGTCGCGGCGGCAGCCGAGGGGCGCGGCGGCAGCGAGTCCCCCCCGTGTGCTGCCGGGCTGAGCTCACGGCACCGTCCCAGCGCCGCCGCCGCCGACTGGCAGAAGCGCCGCGTCCCCGCCACAAGGAGAAGGAGCGAGGCCGTTCCCTGCGCTTCCCCGCAGCATCATGACTCTTCAGGTACGCAATTCTGCATCTGGGGAGACAGAGGCGAGGAGAGGGATGCGCTGCGCGTCTGTGTGATGCCGTGATGGAGACTGTGGTATTTCTTCCGCGTAAAGATTTTTACTGCAGAATCAAGGTTACCTTGTGGCAAGGGAAATCTGCCTGAACCCTTGGAGGTTAAATAGTGCATTACTTTTCACAAGTGGAGGATGAGAAGCAAGCTGGTTAATTTGAACTGTTTCATGGGTCATGTAATATTTTGGATTTTCTTTTTTTTTCATGGGTCATGTAATTTTACCTTTTCAGAGTATGCATGAATTATGTTTCTTCAGACGTGCATCTGAGTTTGCTAGGACTGAGTTAGACGTGGAAAGGCAGGTACATACTTATGTTTTTAGGATCTAGCTGGTTGCTTGGAGCTGTTAAAGGAGGAGGGAAACTTCTAAGACTGAGACAGTGCTATATGTGCATTTGGGAAGCGTAAATAATTTTTAAATAAGTTGTGTGGATTTTTTAGGGTGCATGCATCTTTGGACTGCTACATTTTGATAGGTTTGTGTTTTGGTAGGAGAGCTTCTACTTACCTTCTAGCTAGACAGAGAGCTTCTTTTTATGTACTCTCTGATTGCAGCTTTAAATAGCTGTTGAGGAAATTATCTTCATTGCTGGCTTTTAGCCTCCTACCTTTGTGGGAAACTATGAATACTTCCCTTGTCTTGGCCATGTCCTGATAGATTAAGCTGATTTTCTTCTTTAGGCTTCCCTATTATCCCTTTCACTTTCAAGATTTGCAAGCTCTTCTATCCCTGTCTCATTATGTCTGCCTCAGCTTAGTTAGTGTGTATTTTGCACAGAGTGAGCAGCACAATGCTCTGACCTAGATGCAGGGAGTGCATTGCCAGCAGCTTAGCAATTTTCTTCTGAGCTGCAATTATGCTGAATAGCACAGAGGTTTCATTGTGCTGTGTTACAGCTAAGAAGAAATCTCTTTCTTAGGTGGGTCAAAACTGCCAAATCCCAAACATAACACTACCTTTGCATAATTAATAATTGCTGAAAAATCAGCTTGTTTTATTCTGCCTTGAACTCAGTCTAGCAAGTGAATTTGTTAGCCTGATGATTTAAGCAATGAGCCATAAATTATGATAAAAAGGAGCTGAAGGCAGTATGATATGCTGTTCCATAGCTGCATACAGTTACACTTAAGCATAAAAATCAGGAGTTGAAATTTTAAGATGCCATATGCATTCTGCATTAGACATTATAGACCTTGTCTGTCCACATTGGTTTGGTTGACAGTTACCAATCATATCCATAAATTTACTGATTCTAGCTCTATGGGAATGAGGACAAATGAATAAAATAATGTTCTCTTTAGTGAGGCTGTAAAATATTTTTAAGTTTTGCAAAGTGGTAAAATATTCTACTATAAATGAAGAATTCATTCAAGCTTTTTTCTTCACAAAAAGACAGTGTCTGATAATGGTCTGATAATTTGTGCTTTTATCTTTAAGGCACATGTATATGTTTATGTCTGTATATATTTTTATGCTTTTTATTTGAGGAGTTAAAGGGAATTTTATCGGCACATGATTAAGAGAAAATTATATTTTTACAGGCTGCTCATAAGCATGTTGTGTAAGCAGGCAAATCCTAAGCAACAGTCTGTGCAGAATGATTGGCTAGAGGAGGATAAAGAACAAAAGATTTAGTATTTAATTTCATTTCTGCACCTTTCTTGCTCCGTAAGATATGCTTTTGCAAATCTTTAAACCATCTTGTGATACTCGCCTCTAGATGCAAATAGAATAAAATTATAGGAAAATAAGGTGGTTAACTTAATGGTTTCCTTAACTTTTTATCTTTTGTCTTGTACAATTGAACAGGGCTTCTGGTTCGTTCTTCCTGTGAAGTTGTCATGGTTTAACACTAGCCAGCAAATAAGTACCATGCAGTCACTTGCTCACCTGCTTCACCTACAGTGGGATGGGGAGGAGAATTGGCAGTGAGGAGAAGGGGGAGGAAGCAAAAACTCATGGGCTGAGATAAGAATAGTTTAATGATTTTTAAAATGAGTAAAATATAATACTGTGATAATAGTATTGAGAGAGAAAAAGAGAGAGAGAGAGTGCATGTGCAGTTAAACCCTGGAGAAGCATGTGATGCACAACACAATTGCTCACTACCCACTGACCAAGGCTGAGCCCATCCCTGAGCAGCAATCAGTGGCCAACTCTTGGCCAGCTCCTCCCAGTTGCTGCCCTGGGCATGGATGTTCTGTGGTGTGG